GCAGCAGCAGAGGCGGGCGGTTGGTCTCCCGCCCGGGTGGCCTGGCGCTGGTGGTGGCTGGACGTGGTGGTCGTGCGCGTGGTGGGCTGTCGGGTGGCGGTTCGGGTGACGGGCACTGCCAGTACCTGCTTCAGACCGGTCCTCGCCGTGGCTTCGTTTGCGGTAAGATCGGTCACACCTCCGTCCGCTGTTTCCGTCGCCTGGACGACCTGTTTCGTCAGCGCTTCGGCCTCGCCCGACCTCCCCGACTGGCACAGCTTGCTTCGCCGTAGCGTTCAGATTTTTGATATGGACATGGATGAGATTGTTGCTGCCTTGCATGTGATGTATGCTGATGACTCTAGTGTGACTGCTTCTTACTACCCCTTGTTGCCTAGTGTAGGTGTCTAGTCGTGCCTCCCCTGCTGCGTCAGGCGTAGGATCCCCTGCTTTGTTTAGCCTTGGTTCTTCTATCGCTGCTCCGCCTCCGGACGTCACTGCCACGCTCTCCTTCACCTTGGACTCTGGCGCTTCTCAGTGTTTCTTTCGCGACTCCACTATGCTGACGCCGGCTTCCCTGCTTCTGCTGCAGTTTCCCTTGCCGACCCTCCTCCGGCCCCGGTAGTCGCCCGCAGTTCCACCACCCTTCCCTGTCCGGCGGTTCCTTCCGGCTCTCTTACAGGCCTGCACATCCCCTCGTTCTCCAGGAACCTAGTTGGTGTCGGCTGCCTCCAGACCTTGGCGTCACCCACTACGTTCCCTGGTCACGAGCGGACGCTGTCTGTACCGAGGCAGCCACTGGTGTCCCCTCACCACGTTCCCCGGGACCCGGTGTCTGGACTGTTCACAAGCTGGACACCGCGACCCCCCCCCATTAGGATGCTCCCCTCAGGTGTCTGCATCTACCCAGGTTGCTGCTGCTGCTCTGCGGTCAGTCACTCACCCGACACTACTGTGGCACCACCGTTTAGGTCACCCTGCCCTCCCGTGTCTGCGTCACATGTCACAGCACGGTCTAGTCTATCTCCCGGGTCGTTCCCCCGAGTTGCCCTCCTCCCAGCACCACCGTGCACGCCCTGTTCGAGGCCGGCTCCGCGTGCCCCTCACTCCTCCTCGTTCCCCCTACCACCGCACCGCTATAGACCCCGCACATGGAGGTCCTGGGCCGCCGGCTACTTCCTAGTGCTTGTCGACAACTAACACCCGCTACACCACCGTCTTTCCCCTTGAGCGGAAGGCCGATGTGCCTGACGTTCTCATCCCATGCTTGTCTGCGGTGTCCACCGCGGTCTCCCTGTCTTGCGCTCCACTCTGACCGTGGCGGCGAGTTTGCCTGCCGACGTTCTTGGTCGTTTCAGTCGTACGGAGGGCATCACCCAGAGTTCACCTTGCCGACTCCCCGCAGCAGAATGGGTTGCTGAGCGACGCATCGGTTTGGTCATGGAGGTGGCTCGTATCTCCATGATCCATGCCGGTACACCCCATTTTCTGTGGCCGTTCGCCGTTCGCTACGCCGCTCACCAGCTAAACCTGTGGCCGCACCCCCAGCAGCCGCAGGTTTCGCCGACCCTCCTCTTGGACCAGGTCTCCTGGTGAGCTCTGCTTCCACGTCTGGGCTGCCTTGCTCACGTTCGTGCCTCTGGCACGGACAAGCTCACTGCCCGCACCCTCCCTTGTGTCTTCCTCGGTTTCCCCTAGACTCGTCTGACTGGCACTTCTACCATCCGCAGTCTCACCGGTTCTTTCACTCCCGCGATGTCACCTTTGACAGTCCATTCTCCTTCTACCGCCGCTTCCCCCACCGAGGTCCCCCGGTTACTCCCCCCTCTTCCTGGTCCCCCTTCCCAGTGGCCCCTGCCCTCCCCTCCCCCTCCCCGTCCTGCACCGTTGGTGTGTCCCACGTCACCCCCCTTACGTCGGTTGTCCCGTCGAGGAGTCTGCTGACTCTGGTGTCCTGCGGCGCTGTCCTCGCCGCCTGTCCCTCCCTGTTGTCTCCTCCTCCGCCGCCTCCGCAGCCGCCGTCGCCATCGCGTCGCAGCTGCCGTCACCGCGCCGCGCAACCGTCGTTGCAGCCACTGTGCCGCAGCCGTCGCAGCAGCAGTTCGTTGACTCTGGGGTTGCTGGCGTTGGGGTGGGTACTAGTCCTGGGGTTCCTTTCGTGGCTTGTCCCGGCGGGCCTGGGGGTGGTACCGGTACTCCGAGGGGCTTCGGGCTTTGGGGGTGTTCCTTCTGAGGTGCAGGAGTGGAGTGTTCGGGAGTAGCTGTGGAGCAGCTTGCGGCCCGGTGTCGGTGTTGTGCCACCGCAGCCGCAGTCACTGCCCGGTGTCACCCTTCCGCCTGCTTGGCCTTCCCCGTCCCTAACCCTGCGTGTGTTCCTCTCCTGCCGTCCCCTCCTCTTCCTGTCTACGCCTTGTGTTCCCTCCCCCGGACTCATCTCCGGCTCGTCTTCCCCCTCGTTCCCCTCTTGTGTCTCCTCCTCTGTCTCCTCACCAGACACCTCCGTCTTACGTCTGGTCTCGCCGTCCCTCCCGTGCTCGCCCTGTCTCCCCTGTCCCGCGCTCACCACCCTATGTTGCTTCGTTCCCACGTGTTCGTTCCTCCCCTCCTGCGTCGCCTCCTCCGTCCTCCTTGTTGTTGCGCCTCCCCCTCTGTCTAACTACCTCCATGCCGCTCGTCCTCTTGTTCCTCGGGTCCTTGCCTCTCTCGTTACCGACCCGTCTTTCCTGTTTCGCGTCTTGACGCTCTGTCGCTGCGGTCACTGACTTCGCCTCTACCCGCCGCCTTGACTACGCCACCGCTCTGGTCTCTGCCCTGCCTGTCCTCCGTCTGTCGGGTGCTCCTGCCCTGGCACTGACGTCCTGGAGGACCCCAGTTCGAGCTTGCTTCCTTGTCCGAGGCTGCTCCCCATCTCTTTCCATGCTACTAGTCCCTGAGGGTGATCCAGACGCTTTCGACATCCCGACCCCTCGCACTTACGCTGAGGCGTCTCGGACCTTGGGCCTCTCAGTGGATAGCTGCCATGGAGCAGTAGATGTCATCTTGGAGATCCACCGGCACCTACGTCGACGCAGTTCCCCCACCTGGGGAACGTAGTCGATGGCCAGTGGCTCTTCAAGGTGAAGCGCCCTCTTGGAGAGCCGACTGTGTTCAAGGCGCGCTACGTGGCTAGAGGCTTTAGTCAGCGTGAGGGTGGACTTCTTTCAGACTTTCGCTTCGACCCGAAGATGACTAGTCTTCGGTGCTGCTACACGTAGCAGCTCAGCGTGACTCAGCGTGACTGCTTCACTCCCTCGACCTCCCACTGCGTTTCCTCAAGGCAATCTACACGAGCAGGTCTACCTGCGCCGCCCTCAGGGTTTCACTGGTACCTTCCCTCCCTGGACCCAGTGGCTCCTGTGGCGCCCCGTCTACGGCCTGCGGCAGGCTCCCCGTGAGTGGCACGAGACCTGCGTGCTACCCTTGCTGACCTGCAGTTCTTTCCATCCTCTACAGACCCCTCGCTCTTCTTCGTGCTGGCCAGACTCCGTTCTACATCCTTGTTTACGTCGACGACCTGGTCTTCGCCACTGCAGACAGGGACGCACTAGCCTCGGTGAAGCATGCTGCTGAAGAGACACACCCTGCACTGACCTTGGAGAACTGCGCCACTATCTTGGCTTGCAGATCTCCAGGGACAGAGCAGCTCGCAGCATCACCCTCACTCAGACACACTTGGTGCGCCAGTCCTTCAGAGTTCGGCCTTCAGTTCTCCTCTACACAGCCCACCCCTCTGCCTGTAGACCACAGCTCTCTGCTCCAGTTCTTGATGAGTCAGTAGAGCCCAGTGCCTTACACAGAGCTGGTGGGTTGCCTCATGTACCCGATGACTTGCACTCACCCAATCTCGCATACCCTCTCAGCATTTTGGCTCGCTTTGTGGCTACAGGCAGACACCGACCTCAGCACTGTCTGCCGCTAAGAGAGTTTTGCGTTATCTTGCAAGTACAGCGAAGCACATCCAGCTGCGGTACTTCCTCCTGCGTGAGCTACAACAGCGCCGCCAGGCTCGCGTAGTACACTTGGCCTCCGGTGCCAACACAGCTGATATCTTTACGAAGGCGCTTGCGTCTAAATATCATCAGCGACACTGTGTACAGCTAGGTCTTGTTCCTGTAGCCTCTCACTTGGTAGCTTTGACTGTGTACAGACCTTTTATATATTTATCCTGACTGGCCTTGTGCCTCTTCTAGTGGCTGGACTAGTAGTGCCACCCTGGTTTTGCTTTTGCCTTGGTCTGTACTCGTTTGAGTGGTCTTTAGACCCTTGCCTCAAAGGTCGGACTAAAGTGCCATCCTGAGCTGCTCGTTCTCTCGTTAGGAACTGCTCCTATACAGTCTAGGGGGTGTGTCAATCATATATTGTTATGTTTGTATAGACTGTATAGGTTTGTGTATTAGAGGTACAGCTTCTAGGTTATATTCCCTTGTACTCTCCTATTCTAGTTCATTCTCTTATTCAAATACATTCAGGATACTCATAGTTTTTTTTACAAAATTTACCCTGATTTTCAAAGGGTGACGAAAAAATTACCCTTAGAGATAGGGTATTTTGTTTAGGTACACTGATTACTAAGGGTGCCCCTAAACCAATTTGAGCCCTGGTCTCCTGACGAGCCGCATACATTGTTACCCGCCTTGCTGTTGCATGCCTAGATTTGGGCGCTCCGCGCCACTTTACGAACCACACGTCGCATCTCTGTCCAGCCACGGCTAGCTATATCCATGCTCCCTGCTGTTTGATGTTGCCTAAGTTGTATTGTTTCCTCGTTAATCAATCCTTAGACACACGCTCTTTGCGCTTCATTACAACTACTCTCAACGGATACCACTTGTTTGCTATAACGAGCAGATTGCCTGAGCTTGGTTCGGCCGAACCTAGCGTACAGGCAAAATTTGGTGTCATCCGCGAGATGACACGACGCAAGAATTTGCCCTGACATGGGTTCCAACTTCAAGGGCTGATGTGGCTTTTGCCTATGGATTTCCGCGCAACCATGGTCAGCTTGATGCAAGCAGCTCATGGAATCGATGATGGCCTTACATGGGGAATAGGGGATTTCTGCCTGTTGATGGTAGATTAATCTACCGCGCCTGAGTCATCATAATCTCAGGAGGCGGAAAACGACCCATGTAGATTTCAATCCCCCATGTCACTCCCCTCTTTCCAGCTTTCCGTCTTCACACGAAACGAACGGCTCTGATTGGCCGATTTCGTCCGTCCATCGTACGATCCGCAAACCGTTGATCACGTCGGCGACAATGAATGTAGAGGTGCGTCACGAAGCTGAACCTCGTCGTTTGAACTCGCGAAATTTGAAAAACTGGCTTGATATTCGTTCCTTAGGATCCCTTGTTCTGCTTTTGAGCCGACTCGAAGGAGCCATTGGTCCTCACCCTGCGAAAATACCCTGCTAAACGCCATTGGTCTGGGAGATCCTGTTCTGCCAACTTCCCCTCATTTCCTCTCCGTCATCATTCTGCCAATTCTTTCGCCTCTTCTCGAAACTTGACGCGTCTCAAATATACTCATGCCTAGTTCGTTAGCCTTTCTTTCGTCGCCGTTCGCCTTTTCGTTCGCCTTTCTTCCCGGAATCGTGGTTCCCTTCTCCTCCGTTCCGCCTCTCGTCTCGTCTGGTCTCAGGCGATCCTTCGCCGGCATCCTTCCAAGAAGCTTCGTCGTGTTTTGGAGGATCCTTCCGCATTTAGATTCCAGGTGTCTACTCATTTACCTGTTTTTTTAGACTCCAGACTTCAGTCCGTATCTATTCTTGTGCATCCATTTCGTGACTCATAGTGATGATCCAGAGAGGATTTTTTTTTATTTTTTTTTTGGGGGGGGGGGGGGGGGTTAAGATTTCTCAAAAGTGACTCGTAAGGACTCTCCGTCCTTTTGTTCAAGATGTGTCACATGCTGGAAAAACGTCGAAATAAATAGATTTTTAGACCCTCGTATTCTTCAGCATGATCTTGGTCATTCTGTATTTCCTGTGTTCTTAGGGTTCTTTTTTCTTTTCCTGGCTTGTATCCTCCGCGTTGCCCCTTTATCCACTACCCCAGGTGCTCGTATCAGAAGTGACTACTAACGCCAGCGGTCAGCCTTGTCTGCGTCGCCATGGCTATCGAGTGGATCACGAATACTTCTACCCTGCCAGGTGTGCTACCCTGCCAGACGTGCTACCCTGCCAGACGTGCTTCTCAAGCAGTCTCTCCATACCCTGCGTCGTGGTGGTGACTATCGAGTGGATCACGAGTACTTCTACCCTGCCATGCCAGCTGCCAAGAACATTCGTTCTTCCACACTCGTGCCGCCTGTGTCCATCACATTGCATGAGCCAGTTGACATGTTTCCTTTTGCGACGTCGCAAAACAATCACATTACATGAGCCAGTTGACATGTTTCCTTTTGCGACGTCGCAAAACAATCACATTACATGAGCCAGTTGACATGTTTCCTTTTGCGACGTTGCAAAACAATCACATTACATGAGCCAGTTGACATGTTTCCTTTTGCGACGTTGCAAAACAATCACATTACATGAGCCAGTTGACATGTTTCCCATCGCAAAACAATCACATTACTACGACGCCAGTTGACATGTTTCCTCATGTTTGCTCGTTGCTCTCTCTTCTCCTCCCGCTTTTGCCTTCCTCTTGTCTTTTTCAGCGCCATAAAGCTGTGTGCTGCAGTGGCTGCTCTTCAGAAACTAACGGAATACAGAGGTCAGTCAGGCGGTGCAGGGTCAACTGGTGTCTTGACCTTCATCCTTTCTCTTCATCCTGCCTTTCGGCCCGAGGCATAGCCCTTCGTTGCACTTCTGTAACTGTCCTTCCTGTCCCTTGACCACGGAATTAATCACCCTCTGAGCAGGGATAAGAAAAGTCTGCTCCCTCTTTCTCCACGCCTCTTCGTCCACTCCCAACACCCCCTATTCTCAGCCCTTGACATAAACGTGTCGCAAGACTCGCCACTGTCCTTCCTGCCCCTTGGCCACGGAATCAGGCACCATTTGAGCAGGGATACGAGAAGTCTGGTTGGCTCCCTCCCTCCTTCTCCATTCCTCCCTTTCCGGCTCCCCCCGCCCCCTATTTCAGCTCAAGGTATGCGCATGTCGCTGCACTCGCCTCTCTCCCTCCTGCCTCTCTACTCCGGAGACAAGGAGCAGAGCAGCGACGCATCTAACCTGAATGGAGGACACATCACGTTGGCTCATGAGATCAGGAAGATGTTCCTGGTGGGTATTGTATGGGTTGCATGATGGATGCATGATAGATGCATGGTATATGCGAGCTGGGATATTCTTTTTTTGTGCATGCTTCGGTTTGGTTAAGGCTGGGCTGGAGAATACATGCTGGCCAACAGCAAGACCTTTGATAGAATGCAAAGTGGCCGTTATTTTTTAGAATTCTCAAGAACGCAATGTGACCGTTGATTTTTCAGAATCCTCAAGAATGCAATGTGACTGTTGATCTTTCAGAATTTGCAAGAAGGCAATGTGACCACTGACCTTTATCTGCCTGCCCAATGTGACATTGCTGCCTTTATTGCCAGAAGGTAGCGCCACTTGGTACTGCCTTCAATCCAAGTTGGTGTGAATCTGCAAACTGGTTGTCCCTCAGGACGTATTTCAGTACTTCACATAGTCATATCTCAAGAATGAATCTCTTCTATCACCCTATGTGCCATGTGCTGCGCATGCTCCCTCCCTGTGCGTTCAACAGGTGTCAGACAACACTGCATACAACAGGCTCTATGCCTTCATTGGACAAAGGCGACTCAATCAAGCCATGTAAGCTACAAGCAATGTTTGCTGGCTCTGATGATTCAACCCCATCCCCCAACCCCCACCTACCTTTCTCCCCCCCCCCCCCCACACACATCCCCCCACAAACCCTGTTGTTACGAGCTGCCTCAAACAAAGCATGCCTTGAGACATCCCAGCGTTACATCATGCCTCGGGACATTCCAGCCTCACCACTTGCTACAATCACCTCACCACTCGCAAGCAAGCATGCCTCGGGACATTCCAGCCTCACCACCTGCTACAACCACCTCACCACTCGCAAGCAAGCATGCCTCGGGACATTCCAGCCTCACCACTTGCTACAATCACCTCACCACTCGCAAGCAAGCATGCCTCGGGACATTCCAGCCTCACCACTTGCTACAACCACCTCACCACTCGCAAGCAAGCATGCCTCGGGACATTCCAGCCTCACCACTTGCTACAAACCACCTCACCACTCGCAAGCAAGCATGCCTCGGACATTCCAGCCTCACCACTTGCTACAACCACCTCACCACTCGCAAGCAAGCATGCCTCGGGACATTCCAGCCTCACCACTTGCTACAACCACCTCACCACTCGCAAGCAAGCATGCCTCGGGACATTCCAGCCTCACCACTTGCTTTCAAGTGTGGTAATCTTTTCTCGCTTGCGAGTTGAAACCATTTTCCTCCTCCCCTCCCCTCTCGTCAGGCACTCCCTGGGTCTCCCCTCTGCCCGCCTCTCCCACTGCCTCTCCCTCGACCTCTCCCCACTTAACCACTGCGCACCCATTCTGTTTCCCTCTATTCATCCTCTCCTTCCTCCAGGCACTCCCTGGGACTCCCCTCCGCCCACCTCTCCCACCGCCTCTCCCTCGAACTCTCCCCTCTTGAGAATTGGAGCTGTGATCCCATCCAAGTGGGCTCCACAGCAGCAGGAGAGGGCAGTTTCTGCTTTGCGCCCAAGTGCGGCAGTGAGGAGGTGCCAACAATAGAAGCCTCCTCCCCTCCCCTCCCTCCAGGCACTCCCTGGGGCTCCGCTCCGCCCACCTCTCCCACCGCCTCTCCCTCGAACTCTCCCCTCTTGAGAATCGGAGCTGTGAGCCCATCCAAGTGGGCTCCACAGCGGAAGCAGGAGAGGGCAGTTTCTGCTTTGCGCCCAAGTGCGGCAGTGAGGAGGTGCCAACAATAGAAGCCTCCTCCCCTCCCCTCCCTCCAGGCACTCCCTGGGGCTCCGCTCCGCCCACCTCTCCCACCGCCTCTCCCTCGAACTCTCCCCTCTTGAGAATCGGAGCTGTGAGCCCATCCAAGTGGGCTCCACAGCGGAAGCAGGAGAGGGCAGTTTCTGCTTTGCGCCCAAATGCAGCAGTGAGGAGGTGCCTCCAGTGCACGGAGTGAAGGGGCTGCTGGTTGGCGGTGCTTATATCGATGCTGATGGCACTAAGGTGGGTGTGCTTGTAAGGGGTGAGTGAATTGAGCAGGAGGGGGCAGTTTCTGCTTGGCGCCCAAATGCAGCAGTGAAGAGGTGGCAGCGATAGAGGGAGTAAAGGGGTGGCTGGTGGGGTGTGCTTATGTCGATGCTGATGGGAGAAAGGTGGGTGTTCTTATAATCGATGGTTTCTGGGTACCAAGGATGGCTTGGGTATGGTCATTGTGCAGGATTGAGTGAGGTGGGCATCTGTGTCTCATCAGAAGCCTTTTAGCTAGCTCAGAGTTTACCCCCACACCCATGTGTTTCTTTCTTTGCTTATGCTTTTGATTTGTGTTTTTTTATTGATTGTGATGCCATGTCATGCAATGATTGTGATGCCATGTCATGCAATGCTTGTGATGCCATGTCATGCAATGATTGTGATGCCATGTCATGCAATGCTTGTGATGCCATGTCATGCAATGATTGTGATGCCATGTCATGCAATGCTTGTGATGCCATGTCATGCAATGATTGTGATACCATGTGAATGACTGTGATGATGCCATGTGATGCATTCGGCGGTGTACGCCATGTCATGCAATGAGGTATGCACGCTATGCCATTTGGTGCATGGTGCGGCATGTGATGCATGGTGGGGCATGTGTTGCATGGTGGTGGCATGGTCGTGAATGCCAGGCGGGTCTCTGCAGGTCAACTCGCCCATGGATTTCTCCTCCAAGAACCGGTTGACTCTTGTTGACCTGCAGAACCTCCTCATTCTTCTCATGCGCCCAGACATACAGGTATGCCTAGATGTGGTGTATGCCCCCAGACATACGTGTGCTGCTCATGGTGAATACAGGTCATCCCCCATGTGCTTTCCTCCAAGAATCGGTTGACTTTCGTTGACTTGCAGAACCTCCTCATTCTTCTCATGCTGTCAGGCATACATGTATGTATGTGCAAATGTGGGAACTGGAAGGAGAGAGAAGGCGAAAGAGGGAAGGGAGAGGGGAGAAGGGAGAAGGGGGGAGGGAGGGTGGGGGCGTGTACCAGTCTTGTAGCTGTTGTTGCTAGGCCATGGGCCAATGCTGTGTCTCCTTCCCCCCACTGACTGCCCCCCATCCCCCATCCTTCCAGCTGCCTGGCTGTGCGCCAGTCGACATGGACGAGGCTTCCCGCCTTCTGCTGCAAGAGGCCATGAGGCAGCATGCTTGAGAGTCAACCATACATGTACTGTGCTCCTCTGTCCCTCCGCGCACTGCCATCCCCCTCCCCACCAGCTGCCTGGCTGTGCACCAGTCAAGATGGATGAGGGCCATCGCCTGCTGCTGCTGGAGGCCATGAGGCAGTACCCTAGAGAGTCCCGCAGTCCTAAATATGCGGGCAAGGAGTATACTGATGATTATTGCAAGGTGTGTGTGAGTGTACTGCTGCTGATTGTTATTGCAACTTGTAACGAAGCTCTGAATTTTCTTGCACAGTTTCCCAACAGTGTAAAGGCAGGGAAATTCCCCTGAGAAATGCAAAGCTGGATGTTCCTTCTCCCTTTTCCTTCTGGATTTTTTTTATCTCGCCTGCAGTTCTTTCTGCCCGGATTGTGCCGGGTGCGGCATAAGGAAGCTCTCCGTGTTTTCAACAAGATCGGGCAGGCGTTTGGTTTCACTATTGACAACTCGTGAGTCCCTTAGCTCTCTACCATCCCTTACCTCTCAACAGTCCCTTGCCTCTCTACAGTACCTTGGCTTTCCACAGTCCCCTTTGCTCTCCTTGGTGTAAGTGAGTTCCACTATATGTGTCCATTTCATATCCCCGCCCTTCCCCACACACTTCCCTCCCTCCCTCTTACTATATTTTTTATTGGGTGTTTTTGAGAATAGCAAAATATGCCAGGGCACACACACACCCTGCAAAATCAAACACTTCCCTCCCTCTTTCTATATTTTTAAATAGCGACAGGCGGGGGAGGGGAAGTCATTTCTCGCCTTTGTTATCTACACCATGGGGACAAATATGCCAGTGATGCCATGAAGTACCCCACACCTACCCCTCCCTTCCCCCCCACCCCCTTGCTTTCGTTCCAGTTATATTCTCGACATAGATACAGGGAGGGATGTCGTCCTCTCTCTAGCTCTCTACACCAATACCAATGACTGCCTGAAAGACCCCCCTCCCCCTTTCCCAACCATCCTGTTCCCCTCCCTCCCTTCCTTCCGCCCCAGTTGTGTTCTCAACATAGAGACAGGGAGGGAGTTCTTCCTCTCTCTAGCTCTCTACACCAATCGTCGATCAATATGCTTCAAACTGGTACCCCACCTACAACCACCCCCCCCCTCCCAGTCCCCTCCCACCTCCTCTTCCCCCTCCCGCCCCTGCTTCCGCTCCAGTTGTCCTCGACATAGAGACAGGAAAGGAGTTCTTCCTCTCTCTAGCTCTCTACACCATTGTGAATGGCTGCCTCAACGACAATAAATACCCACCTAACCTCCCTTCGCCCCCCCTCCCCACTCTTCCCCCTCCCTCGCTTCCGCTACAGTTATGTCCTCGACATAGAGACAGGGAGGGAGTTCTTCCTCTCTCTCGCTCTCTACACCAATGCGAATGGCTGCCTGAACGACGATAAGTACGAGTATGACCTGGCGTATGACGTGGCTGCTGACGTGGCAGAGGCTGTTGCCCGGGCCCTGTGGGATAATAGCAGCAGGAGTCAAGACCTGGATGGTGTGGTAGCTACCACGTCTGATGATGCATCAGCCGATGTGGCTGCTGATGTGGCTGCTGACGTGGCTGCTGATGTGACTGCTGATGTGGCCGATGCAGCAGCCAACAGTTTGTGCTCGGAGAAGGGGCTACCTGATTCTCTCGCCTGCCTTTCGCTGAAAGGTGCCTCAAATCCCACACTCCCAGCCACCTCAGCCACAGCTGCTGTCCCGGCTACGGCTGCTGTCCCGGCCACTTCAACCTCCCCTGCTATCCCAGGTTCTTCTGACAAGGCACAACACAGCCGCTTAGAGCAGGAACTCAGCAAGGCCCTGCTTCCTGTGTACTCATTCTTTGTCGATGAATGATTGGCTTAGTATGGGCGTGCCAATTGGCACATACCCTAAAGTTATTGAGATGCTCGCATTGATAAGGATAACCTGACGAATGGAGCCTCCCTCCGCTAGTTGGGCCCAAGCTGCAACATCATACTCAGACTACTTCACAAGAATGGGCGGTGCGCAGTTACATGAGGCACTGTTACATCTTGCACCCGAAATTCACTGCCACTGCACCCCTGCATAGATGTAACATAAATGGAATGGAGCATGGAGAGCGGGAAGGGGTGGGACGGATGGGTTGGGGAGGGCTGGGAAGAGGGTTCTTTGAGTCTGCTTTTTAGTAGACTCAAGCCGAAGGTCACTGCCACAGCACCCCTGCGTCGATGTGACATACCGGTAATTGGACAGGAGCATGGAGAGCGGTAAGGGGCGGGGGTGGGGGGGGGGAAGTGAGTAGTTTTGAGGCGCCTCATTGATCGCCACTGTTACACCTTGCACCCGAAGTTGGCTGCCACCACACCGCTGCATGAATGTGTGATGTCGACAAATAAAGAGCATGGAGAGGGGGACGAGGGGAGCGGGGGAAAGTGAGTAGGTGGACTGGTTTTGAGGTGCCTCAATCTTCACCACTGTTAGACCTCACACCCAAAGCTGACTGCCACGGCAAAAACGAAAGGGAAGGAGCATGGAGGGAAGGGCCGGTCAGGGAAAAGAACTCTTCAAGCTGCCCGAGGAGCAAAAGTTTGTGCTCTAACAGATGGGGGGCTCAAAAGTACAACACTAGGACACATGGGGGGCTCAAAAGTAAAACACTAGGACACATGGGGGGCTCAAAAGTACAGCACTAGGACACATGAGGAGCTCAAAAGTACAACACTAGGACACATGGGGAGCTCAAAAGTACAACACTAGGACACATGGGGAGCTCAAAAGTACAACACTAGGACACATGGGGAGCTCAAAAGTACAGCACTAAGACACATGGGGAGCTCAGAAGTACAGCACTAGGACACATGGGGGGCTCAAAAGTACAGCACTAGGACACATGGGGAGCTCAAAAGTACAACACTAGGACACATGGGGAGCTCAAAAGTACAACACTATGACACGTGGGAAGCTCAAAAGTACAACACCAGGACACATGGGGAGCTCAAAAGTACAGTACTAAGACACACGGGGGGGGCTCAAAAGTACAGCACTAAGACACACGGGGGGCTCAAAAGTACAACACTAGGAAGCTACCTTTACGGCACCTGGGGGGCTCGCTCAACCCTCAAGGCTCTCCGGTTCTTGGGTGAGTGATAGTCAAGCACAGTGGATGTGGATGTGGATGTGGGCACTTCAGCACCAGAAAGCTGAGGGTGAGCTCAGCTTTTGAGGCGCCTCAAAGCTGAGGGTGAGCCCAGCCATTTCATGCATAGGGGTCGCACCGGTTCTTGGGTGAGTGATAATCGAGTGCTTTGGACGCCCCCGAGGCGGAGTGCGCCCAGAGGATCGTGTTTGAGCCGCGATACTTGAGACGGACCGCACCAGCGTAGCCTGTTCGCGTGAACCTGCAGAGGGGGAGGAGCGAGAGGAGAGGAGCGAGAGCGCAGGATAGAAGCATTGTGGACGATCCCGAGGCCGAGTGCGTCCAGAGGATCGTGTTTGCGCCTCGGTAGTTGAGGCGCACAGCGCCAATGTAGCCCGTTCGAGTGAACCTGTAGGATGCGAGTATAGCGAACAGATGAAGGCAACCAAGCACCAAATGGATGGCTCAGTAATTGATTGTCATTATCTCAAGAAACCAGATGGTCAAAGCTAAGCAGTTAAAGCCACTAAAGCCATTATAGCCATCTGCTCACCTCATTATAGTCCCGCATGCGTTTTAACGGAGGTCTTGGAAATGACATTTGAGTCGACTCAAAAGCCACCTCGTTACTATGCCACAAAATGACACCTTACTGCCATCTGCGCACCTCATTATTGTCCCGCGCGAGTTGCTTGTAACGGAGATCTTGGAAATACGGAACCTTCGGGTCGGTTTCACTGCTGCTAGCTTGGCCCCAGCCAATGCGTAAGCGCCAACGCCACTTCGCCCGGCCAGATTTCCCACCACTGCATCTGAGCCGACCATCTTCCCTGCCTTGGAGAATCCAACGGCTATCCAGCCCTTGTGAGCGTTACTGGTGGATCTGACTTCGAGGGCCAGGTCCATTTCCGACGAGGAGTACACCTGCCAGTGCAGGATAATGCTGACGTGGCATGGCAATCCCAAGAAGGATGAACAAGGCGGGAAAAGGGGCAGGAATTGGAATTTGAGAGTGGGCCCGTTACTGGTAGCTTCGTTTCTCTAAAAGACTGTCGGTTTGCCTGAACGAACCTATGATACCAAAATTGCTGTGACGATGGGCTGTACACTGTACAACCCTTGGACAAGCGGTTCCAGCGTACCTGACGTCGTGTATCTCCGCAAGAAACGACTTTTGAAGCAGCTCAAAACCCGATTCCCACACCTGTGCTTACCCCCTGGGTCCGCATGGCTGACTCCGTGTATCCCGGCGAGAACGACCGCGCGCACTGCGCCACGGCGGGAAGCGTTGCTATTCTCGCGAAAAGGAGATATAGAGAGTGGTAGAGAGTGGTAGAGTGCGGTAGACAGGGGTAGAGTGGGGTAGAGGGGTAGAGAGGGGAGCTGGACCTACCCCCTTGGGTCCAGCGTGGCTGACGCCGTGTATCCCGGCAAGAACGACCGCGTGCACTGCGCCACGGCGGGAAGCGCCGCTACTCCCACAGGCTTTGCTCCTCGCACGGGCGGCGCTGCTCCTCCCCCTCCGGAAAGGGCGGCTGAAGCGCCTCCCGCCGCCGCAGCAGCAGCGGAGAGCAGCGGCGAGGCCGAGGCGCTCACTAAGAGCAGAGTCGCGATGAGAACGAGGCGACGCAGCAGCATCGTCGCACCGCAATGGTTGGATCAATTAGTAGTCCGATCGGACGGTGGCAGTGGCTGCTTATCTTAGCCTACGAGGTGGCACGGCGAAATACAGGAATGGTTGAGGTCGGACGTTGCCAGGAATGGCTGTTACTGATCTCCTCTTTTCATCCTGGTTCCGTTGCAACGCTCATTGCTGCGTTCGATTTCCGTCGTGCTGCTGTAAGACTGCAACGTGCAGCAATGGTCGCGTCCGACTCGGCTTTATTTTCTGAGGGGAGGGGAGGGGACCGACCGAAAGGCAGGACCAGGATTCGGTGAAGCGGCTTGTATTTGTTTTCATTTTTCTCGATGTGCTGTACACCAAACTTAATCGTAGTATACTATTATACAAGGTGGTAGCAAGGAAGCCTTGATATGACACATATTGATACGTAGGAGCCTAGAAGTACACAATATGCATCTCGATGCCAACCTCCCAACAGGTTTTTCTTTAAGGACGTATTCCTGCAAAGTTGGATCAGATAAAGCTGAATCATTCTCGCAAGATACGGTGCGGTGCCACTTGAGTTCAGTATAGTAATGCGCGAACTGATGCTGATGCAACCTCGCAGGAATTCGCTCATCTCTTGGACTGCAAGTCTTCTTACACCTTACAGCCAAAGTTCACAACCACAGCACCCCTGCACACAAGACAAGACGAGGTTGGAAACAAGAGATCAGTACAGATGTGCGAGTGAGTTGAGTACAGATAACAAATGCTGGTATCTAAAAACTGTTTTCGAGGAAAACACTCATCCCAACGACAGCTACAAAAAAATAAAACAAGGGCTGAAAAGGCTTTTTCCAAACCTGCAAAGGGTACTACGCTACTTTCAGCAGGGCTGCAGCTATCCATGTTAACATTACCTGTTCAGAGGTGAGTGGTTGTCGAGGGCCTTGGACTTGCCAGTGGCGGAATACGCCCATAGAATGAAGTTTCTCCCAGCGTACTTCACAGGGACAGTACCCGCAGGGCCAGAGCGGGTAAACCTGCTCGGATTGGCAGTCACACAGAGAGAGCACATGCACTAGTGTGTCTAGAAACGGCTGAGCACATGCACATGACTACAGCAGCAGCTGAGTATTAAGATATGTTAATGATGAGAGAAGCAGGCTGACACGTGCCAAGCTTTAGGCTCTAGAAGCACTGTTGGCCTCCAGACTTCAGGCTGAGAAGTGCAAGGTTGAAAAGCTTGAATTATGTATGTTCAAAGGCCGCTCGAGCACCTGAACTCACCTCATGATGGTTCCCTTGGCGTTGGTAACCACGCTCGTCTTTGCAATCGCTCTGGAAGCAACAGCCTTGAATCATGACACATTCAAAGGTCGCTCGACTCAACCCAAGCACCTGAACTGAGCTCACCTCATGATGGTTCCCTTGGCGTTGGTAACCACGCTCGTCTTCGTGATCGCGAACTTCTTCGTCCTCGTCACCGAGGACTTCGCAATGCCTGTCATGACGTATGGACCAATCGCGTTCGGCCGGGGCAGGTTGCCGATCACCGCATCTGAGCCGGTCATCTTGCCCGCCTTGGAGAATCCGACGGATATCCAGCCCTTGTAAGCGTTGCTGGCAGCTTTTGCCTCCACGGCGAAATTTATCGTATTCGGGTTGACGGTCTTCCAGTGGAGCACAATCCTAAAAATGGGAAAAGGTAGGGTTAATAAGGGTTTTTTTTAAGAAGCGTTACACATGATGAGAGCCCCGAAAGCTCGTTGCGAAAGACTTCCATGCGAAATCTACTGGGTGGGTTGACGGGCTTCCAGTAGAGCACAATACTAATGTTGGGGAAGGGAGGAAAACAGGGAACATGATAGGGAACATAACAGGTGACGTAACAGGTGACATAACAGGTGACGTAACAGGTGACATAACAGGTGACGTAAGAGGGAACATAACAGGTGACGTAACAGGTGACATAACAGGTGACGCAACAGGTGACATAACAGGTGACGTAACAGGTGACATAACAGGTGACGTAAGAGGGAACATAACAGGTGACGCAACAGGTGACATAACAGGTGACGCAACAGGTGACATAACAGGTGACGCAACAGGTGACATAACAGGTGACGCAACAGGTGACATAACAGGTGACGCAACAGGTGACATAACAGGTGACGCAACAGGTGACATAACAGGTGACATAACAGGTGACATAACAGGTGACGCAACAGGTGACATAACAGGTGACGCAACAGGTGACATAACAGGTGACGCAACAGGTGACATAACAGGTGACGCAACAGGTGACATAACAGGTGACGCAACAGGTGACATAACAGGTGACGTAACAGGTGACATAACAGGTGACGCAACAGGTGACATAACAGGTGACGTAACAGGTGACATAACAGGTGACGCAACAGGTGACATAACAGGGAGAATTAGAGGCGGAAACTACTCATCGTTCAAGCAGATGATTTTTGAGTCGACTCAAACACCACCTATCGTTCTAGTAGACCGATCATCTCTAGCAGATCGTTCAGAGTAAGGTATCGACTGGGCTTTCGTCTTACCCTTTCCGGGCGAGAGTGGCCGCGGCGGTGTAACCAGGAAGCGTGGGCTTGAAGCATTTCGCCACGGGGACAGGCGCGGCGGACAGCAGAACGACACCTGGGGATCCCTCAGCCACAAAGAGCCTTGAGACGTTGTGAGCAGACACGTCGTCTTACCCTTTTTTAGCGAGGGTGGCTGCAGCGGTGTAACCAGGAAGCGTCGACTTGAAGCATTTCGCCACGGGGACAGGCGCGGCGGACACCAGAACGACACCTGGGTGACCTCCTATGGAACATCCCGCTACTATGACTAAGGCGAGGAGGGTAAGGGACGCCATGCGAGCCGAGCTTGCTCCCTGCTTGTGTGGACGTGAAGCTAAGCGAGAGGCTGAAGGGTGGACTCTTGCCATGGCGCCAACAGGACCGCCGCAGGACGCGGAACACACCGCAAGACCTCTTTAAAATAAGAGGCAACACTGTTGAATTGGTACAGTCTCGACGGAGCCAGTCCGACTGCCTAAATGGCTCGGAGTCCTTCGCCGACAAGAGGTGTCAGACGAAATCGTGGTCGAAAGATGTGCACTTTCAAGAATTCTCGAGGCGAATGCGGATGCATTTTAGATTTCTGCGAGGCTGTCACGAGAATAGGGTGAGCTGGACCGGATGGAACCGCGCCGACACAGGCGCCAAGGCGGAGCAGCGAAAGGCGCTGTGGCATTTGCGCTGAAAGGGTGGGTGGTGGTGAGGTGTGGTGGTGAGGGCGTGTCTGAAGCGTACGTCTGATTGCGGTTGGGTGAGGTGCGTTTTGAGTCAAAAGGATAAAATATATATCTGAAGTGGTTGGGTAGGGTATTCAGTGAAAACTATGCTTGGGACACGTCCTCGGAGGCGACACTCCCCGCCACGATAATGCCCTCCCTTGTTTGTAAATGCAAGAGAGACTCCTCTGGTGTCGGCGAACCAAGGTAACCGCCCGACCAATGGGTTCGTTTCGCAACGTAACGGTGGTTTATTACAACGAACCGCGCCGACAAGGTTTTTATTCGTCACACCCCTTGTTACGGTTCTCCACGATTCATTTCACCCCGAGTGTAAGGAATTTTCCATTCCTTGTACTGCTAGCGCGTACGCTCGATTACACCCGAAGCCTCGGGACTCTTCCAAAGGATGCTAGCGACAACACTAGACGGCTACGATGTGCTGTTGGGACGCGATTGGCTACGAAGATTCAATCCGCAGATAGATTGGACGACATGAGAATTGCGAAAAAGGTTAGCTAAAATTACTCACGTGGCAAGAAGCAGAAACGACATCGACACTAGTCAAATCGGTCTGCCTCAACCTAGCAGTCAAGAATGGAGCGTATTTAAACGCCGTCCATCCAACCGAATAGACAAAGCAGAACGAGGTGACCTACATCAACAAACTGTGCGCGTCGGTTCCAGATGACTTGGCAAAAATCATTGGGGAATATCCCGAGATTTTCCCGGCCGATTTGCCAAGAGGACTGCCATCCGAACGACCCCAAGCTCACAAAATCGAGCTGGAGCCCGGCGCGCAGCCCACTGTACGAACCCAATGGCGCCTGAATCAGCCCGAACTCCACGAATTACGGAACCAGCTGGACTACCTGCTGACAAAAGGGTTCATTCGGCCAAGCACATCCCCGTTCGCGACACCGATCCTATTCACTCCAAAGTAGGACGGCTGACTTCGCATGTGTACGGACTATCGTGCCCTTAATCAGGTAACGATTAAATCACGCAACCCAATCCCACTCACGGACGAGCTGATTGACAACCTTTGCGGAGCTCGCTACTTTTCGAAGATCGACCTTCGCGGCGGTTACCATCAAATCCGGGTGTTCGCTGACGACTGTCACAAGACCGCATTTCGTACTCGCTAAGGGAGTTACGAATACACGGTGATGCCGTTTGGATTAACGAACGCCCCCTCGACGTTCCAGCTCACCATGAACGGGGTGTTTCGCAATCTACTCGACAAATGCGTGATCATATATTTGGACGACATCCTGATTTACAGCAGGACCCGGGAGCAACATCTCAAGGACTTGGAAGCGTTTTTTCGGCGGCTACAGCAGCATCGCCTCATCACCAAGGGCTCCACGTGCGAGTTTTTAAAACAAGAACTGGAGTTCCTAGGGCACATGATCTCTACGGAGGGGATTCAAATAGACCCAAAAAAACTCAGGGCTATTCAGGAGTGGAAACCACCGACAAACCTGCAGCAGCTGCAATCATTTCTGGGCTTTGTGAATTACGTGAGATGGTTTATACCCAACATGGCGGGGTTAAGTGGACCTCTAACTGACCTATTGCAGAAGGGGACTTCTTACGAGTGGGGGGAGAAGCAGCAAGCTGCATTCGAGGCATTAAAAAAACTTTTAATGTTGTCACTAGTGCTTCGCATCGCTGTCCCGGAACGGCCCTTCGAAGTCATCACCGACGCAAGTGACATCGCCATCGGAGCAGTGCTCATGCAAGATTTCGGCAATGGCCTTCAACCAATCGCGTACGAGTCTCGGAAAATGCAATCTGCTGAGCGCAACTACCCGGTACACGAGAAGGAGATGCTGGCGATCGTCCACGCGTTCAAAATCTGGAGGTGCTACCTGACTGGCGCAGATGTGACGGTGCGAACCGACCATAAATCTCTACAGTACTTGAGGGCGCAGCCGAATCCCAACCCGCGGCAGATACGCTAGCTGGACTATCTGGAGTCTAACTTCACGTACAAAATTACGTACAAAAAGGGCGCCAACAATTTTGCCGACCCCCTCTCTAGACCGTCTGCCCAACTCGCAGCAGTTTTAGTCGCCCAGAGCAACCCGCTACTGATTGGACTATTTTCCTACGGGTATTAGACGGACCCTTTTTTCGTAAATGACGGCCATCTCCAAATCACTACGCGGAAAGGCGTTTATTACGTACACAGCGGGACAGATCGAATTTGGGTCCTAAGTTATCGTCTACTTCGCGAATGACTAATTCAAGAAGTCCACGATTCGAATTTATCGGGACATTTCGGGGTTGATAAAACTCTGAAGGCGTTGCAGCGGTTTTATTACTGGCGAGATATGGTGATGGACGTGCAGTATTACGTGGCCGCGTGTCCGATATGCCAGCGAATGAAATCATCACATCAGCGACCGACAGGACTGTTGCAGCCCCTCGAGCCACCTCAACGCACATGGCAATACGTGACGATGGATTTCGTCACAGGTCTACCGGCCGGATCTAGCGAAAACGACGCAGTTTTTGTGGTTGTCGACCGATTGACAAAAATGACGCATTTCGCACCATGTCGTACAACCATCACAGCCGAAGAAACTGCACGATTGTTCATCTCGACCGTTGTTCGTGTACACGGGATACCAGCAACAATCATCAGCAATCGCGATCCGAAGTTCACGTTGAAATTTTGGCAAGACATGAGGGCTCGGTACGGCACGCGCCTGCAATTCTCATCCGCTTATCATCCCCAAACGGATGGTCAGACAGAGAGCACAAATCAAACGATAGAGCAGCTGATTCGGACAAACTGTTCTGACCGAAACAAATGGGAGGACGCGCTTCCCATGTTGGAATTTTCCTACAACAACGTGCCCTCAGCTACGACTAATCACTCCCCGTTTTACCTCAATTACGGGATGGACCCGATAGTACGTATCTCTACCAACGTTGAGACTCAAGTACCACGGTCGCAGCAGTTCGTCGAAGAGTTACAGACTGCCTGAGACAAAGCTGTCGAACTGATCCGCAAGGCGAACGCTACTGCTCGACGGTATGCGGATTTACATCGACGAGATATTACCATGGCAGCAGGGCAACTAATCCTCTTGGACACCAAGAATTTACGACTACCACTACTGACAAAGTTACGACCACGTTTCTGTGGCACGTTCAAGATCATGAAGATGGTGACGCCGGTGACCGCCCAGTTACGCCTGTCAGAAACCCAGCCACTAACCACTGGGTTAAAAGGGCTTGTTGAATAGCGGGTAAGTGCGCCCATAGCCCCCCAGGCTCTGCACCTGTGGCCCTTCTCCGAGGATCTCAAGGGCAACCCCAGCGGGTCACTCAACACCCCCCCCCCCCGCTGGGACAGGTGGAAGACACGAGCGCCTCTGCAGCGCTGGCACTGGGAATTGAACCCAAGACCTTTGGCTCTGATACCATGTCAGAAACCCAGCCACTAACCACTGGGTTAAAAGGGCTTGTTGAATAGCGGGTAAGTGCGCCCATAGCCCCCCAGGCTCTGCACCTGTGGCCCTTCTCCGAGGATCTCAAGGGCAACCCCAGCGGGTCACTCAACACCCCCCCCCCCGCTGGGACAGGTGGAAGACACGAGCGCCTCTGCAGCGCTGGCACTGGGAATTGAACCCAAGACCTTTGGCTCTGATACCATGTCAGAAACCCAGCCACTAACCACTGGGTTAAAAGGGCTTGTTGAATAGCGGGTAAGTGCGCCCATAGCCCCCCAGGCTCTGCACCTGTGGCCCTTCTCCGAGGATCTCAAGGGCAACCCCAGCGGGTCACTCAACAACGCCTACCTGACGATTGGCGTATTCACAATAAGTTCTACGTGAAATTGTTGCGCCCTTTTGTATCTGACACATCGGACATCGCTCGACAGCGATTGGTCCGTGATGTACGGCCACCAGCAGAGACGACCATCGAGCCTTCGAAGATTTTGAGCCATAGGATTCGTATCGACGGTCAAGAACGACACGTTGACTTTCTGATACGATGGACCAATCGTACCAGTGAGGACGACACGTGGGTTCCCCTCGGATGACATATAGTCACCTTCGATACTTGCGAATTATTTAGCCCGCAAGCACGTAATTGATGTTCAAATTATATAAGTTATAATTTAATATAGGCTTGGTAGGTTGTTACTGAACCTTTCTGTAGGGGGTACAAACCCCTCCTTGTACTCCCCTCTCTTCTAATCCAACCCCTTTTTCTCTTCTCAACTTTCCTAGCACCTAAAACCTCTCGCCATTCTCATGGCTCCTCCTAGCTCCTAGCTAAACCTTGTGCCATTCTATGGCTTCCTAGCTAAGCTAGTTTCTGACATGGTATCAGAGCAGTTCGTTCCGCGTGGGCCTGCTCCTCGCGTTTCCGCTGCGTGCTCGTTTCTCTCTCTATCTCGCGCTGTCATGGCGGCCGCGTCAAGCTGCTGTGGCCGCGTCGTCGTGCCGCGGCGCCGCCGTCGACGTCCATGGCGCCCGCGTCCAGCTGCTGTGGCCGCGCCGTCGTGCCGCAGCTCCGCCGTCGCGTCAAGATGCTGTCGCGACGTGACGGCGCCGTCACGCTGCCGCGGCGTCTACGCGACAGCGCGCGGTCGGCGTAACGGCGACGTCGTGCTGCCGTCGCAACGTCGACGCCCCGCTGCGGCATCGACGCCGCTCCATGACGGCGTCGTCGGGCTGCAGCCGGCCGCGTGACGCTTGTGGCGCCGCTAGACCGGCCGCCCGCATGTCAGCCTGTGGCGCCCCCCCCCCCCCACCCCCCTCCTTCCCTTGTGCCCTCTTCCATTCCGCAGACGACGGCTGACTCCCGCCGGCCGTCCCACCGTCGCGGGGCCTGGCCACGTCACCGAGAGGTGCGGGTGCCGCCGCCGCTGCCGCTGTTGTCGAAGCCGCCGCCGCCGCCGCTGTCGCCGCTTGCGTCGGGGCCACGCAGCCGCACGCCGCCGCCGCCGCCGCTGTCGACACTGCCGCCGCTGCCGCCGTCGCCGCCGCAGCCCCTGCGGTCGACGTCGCCGCCTCACGCGCCGTGGGGTCGACCGACCTAGAGTCGCTGTCACTGTGGCTGGAATGGGGGTGCTAGGTTAGGGGGTGTGGGTGTGTGTGGGCATGTGACTACCAAGCCTAGGGGGTGTGTTCAAATTATATAAGTTATAATTTAATATAGGCTTGGTAGGTTGTTACTGAACCTTTCTGTAGGGGGTACAAACCCCTCCTTGTACTCCCCTCTCTTCTAATCCAACCCCTTTTTCTCTTCTCAACTTTCCTAGCACCTAAAACCTCTCGCCATTCTCATGGCTCCTCCTAGCTCCTAGCTAAACCTTGTGCCATTCTATGGCTTCCTAGCTAAGCTAGTTTCTGACAATTGATATAGAGCACCTTCGCTAAGAGGGGGGGTGGTGTAAGGAATTTTCCATTCCTTACCGAGCGGTACTGCTAGCGCGTATGCTCGATTACATCCGAAGCCTCGGGACTGTTCTGGACCTTTCTGACGGAACCGCCTCGGCCTCTCCATACCTTCTGGTTCGACCTTTGGGAGTTCTCCGGGCCTCGCTTCGTCACTTCGAGACCCTTCAATCTCCTTCCCGAACCTTCCCATCTCACAGCTAGACTAGCTCTGATGTTCCTATAACTTGGCTTGCCATTCCTTGTATCGTCATTCAGTGATTGAACACTTCGGTATTCATTTCCGCGCTACTCTGCTTGTTCATCCATAACACCGAGGCCCGTAAATTGTGTGGCTTTTCTCGAAGCCTGATTGTCTCGCTTGTTTTCGGGCAGATGGTCTGGAGAGGGCGTCGGCAATATTGTTGGCACCCTTTTTGTACGTGATTTTGTATGTGTCGTTCGTTGCCAGATAGTATAGCCAGCGTATCTGCCGCGGGTTGGGATTCGGCTGCGCCCGCAGGTATTGTAGAGATTTATGGCCGGTTCGCACTGTCACGTCTGCGCCAGTCAGGTAGCACCTCCAGATTTTGAACGCATGGACGCTCGTCAGCATCTTTTTGTCGTGTACCGAATAGTTGCGCTCAGCAGATTGCATTTTCCGAGACTCGTACACTGTTGGTTTAAGGCTATTGCTGAAATTTCGAGGAGAGCCGTGCTTCTGTATGGTGTTTGAGCGTTCCACCTTCAATTTTGCCTCCCCAAATCGAATGGGGTGCGTTCTACATTCAGTTTTGACTATCGGTGACGTACCGTTATAACACACGTGCTGAATTTGATGAGGGTTTAGCTACTTCAATTCGCCCACAACATAATTATCCTCAAAGCATGGCACTTACCCTAACGAGGTCTATTAACTAAGACACCAAAGCATGGCACTTTCTGGTGGCACCGTCTGGTTAGCCGACACAAGTCAAGTCAACAGACTTGGAACCACTGCAGGAAAGAAAAACGAACAGATGCATCATGGGTGGGGTAAAAGAAAACATTTCGGGAGATGAGTAAACATCACAAGGGGAGTTTGTGAATGAGGGGCGAGAGACACAAGCTTGACACGCCAGTACAACCAGTAAATGTTTCTTGTCAATCACATACCGGTTCTTGCCATGGTCAGTCAGCTTCTTGTTGCTAGTTCCATACGCCCAGATGAGAGTGTTGGAGCCCGCGTAGTTGATGGGCACAGTTCCGTCGTTGCCCGAGCGAGTAAACCTTTGATAGGACGAGGCAATGAGGGAGGGATTCGGCAAAACATTATTCTAAGTAGCCTACGGGAGTGAAGTTCAAACAAGCTGGGACGGGAGAACGTACAAGCATGGAACAGAAGCCAGACAAACTTAAAAGCAGAGGCAGCAGAAGCATGGAACAGAAGCGAATCGGACAGCAGAGTAAGTGACTGAAATTAGCCGGTCCGAACTTTCTGGGCATCGCACGAAGAAACAGATTCATGCGCACGAAGATAGTGGTGCATGTCGAGTGTGTAATGAGTCGATTTTTGAGTCGACTCAAAAATCGACTCATTACAAACAGATTCATGCGCACGAAGATAGTGGTGCATGTCGAGGAACGCTTAGGAGTCGACTCACTTGGGGAATAAATTCAACCCGCTCGAGGGATTTGGCGCGCTGAAATGCTTCGCACACTTCTCGCAAAAAAACTCACTTGAAGGTAGTTGAGCTAATGCCACTGGCTTTTACTTTGCTCGCGGTGCCGCCTGAATAGCCAGTGAGCTTATACGCCTTAACAGCGCCTCCGCTATAGCCAGTGACAACGTCTGCGGGGAACATCTTGCCGCCCTTAGAGAAGCCGACGGAGACTGAGCCCTTGTTGGATGTTGTCTGAACGGCGGCGCTGAGAGTCGATCCTGAGACCTTCCAGTGAAACATGAGTCTGAGAAGCAGCGGGCAACGGAAAGGTGGGGGGAGAATGAGGATCAGTCCGCTTGACATTACGCAATTGCTGGAGTGAAAAGGTCGTCCAATGAATCGCCCTTCAACCGACAATATTGAGGGAGGGTGGTGCTCGGGATTGTTGCTTGAAATAACTGTCGAGATTTGACGGCATCGTTACTCGAGTAGAAGGCGTGTGGCGGCACTTCAGCTATTAGGCGCTACGACAAGTCGTTTGCTGTAAAAGGGAACGTACCCTTTGCCGTTGAGGTCGACTGCTGACGTGTACCCCGGGAGCGTCGACTTGACGCAGCCGGACGACTGCGACGCGCGCTTGCGAGCAAGCACGGCGGATGGGGCGATGAGGAGCAGCAGCAGCAGACCGAGAACAGCGCGCGCCATGGTGATGGGGACAGAAAAGGTCCGACAATCGACTCGTAGTGAGGGAGGAATTGATGAGCCTCTAACGGCTGGAATGGGGGATTCAAGGCTCGTGGTGGCGAGCGTAGAGTTGGTGGCGGGATCGGAAGGGGTGGGCGATTATAGGTGAGTGGGGAGCACGCGCTGCTCTCTGGTGGATACAATGACGAGAATGGCTGAACTACTTATACCCTTCGTGTGGAGCGCCTATGTGCTGGTGAAAAATTGACAGTTTGGGCGAGAGGGGATGCGTAGATGTCGGTGATTAGACGAGGAGGAAGGAGGCAAGGAGCTTTCACGAGAAACTACCCGGATTTCGGCAAAATAACGGGTGATTTTCCGACTGATTCCGGATTCTGACGTGCTCGTTTTTCATGAAGCCGGATTCTGGCGGGTTTATGTATGGCTATGTACCCTGATTTGACGGGTGAGCCCCTGAACAAAACGGATCACAGAGCTACAAAATCCCCCTATCCCCCACCCCCCCACACACCACCCCCCCCCCCTCGCCCCGGCAACTCTCTTCCCCTCCAAAACAATACCATAGATTGGATGGCGGTTAAAAAGAGTCAGAAGTCTGGTGGCACAGAGCTAGCAGCGAGTTTACATAAGTAGAGTCGTGTATTTCGTTCTCACGTCCCAAAGCCTTTAAACTGGAAAATTGGACGCTACAAAAATATACCCGGAACTGACGTGTTGTTTTTATTCCCACCTGGCTTCTGACGACTGACTTTTAAGGTACACTCGTGAGATCCGCGTTTCCATAGAGGGGTACCCGGATCTGCCGTGTGGACGAAAACCCCAAGGTAAGCCCTGGCTGTCAGTCACCCGCTTACTCCAGCAGCTGGGCTTGTCGTTGAGCTCGCACTACGGAACGTCCTCCGGGAATCCACAGGGCCAACAACTGCAAGTTCAATGGAAATCGGGTCGCGCATGTTTCTGCTCTCTCAAAAGTGGAATGAAATTCGAGTCGCACATTGGTCCGAAATTCTGCACTTTTCGAACCGCTAAAACCTTGGGGGGATGGGTGGACACGTGGTGTGTGTGTTCTCCCGATACAACGACTGCTTTTCGCGTGGTCCACGTCGAGCTCTCTCTCTCCTTCAAAGCTGGCGTTTGGTCCACATGGTCGGCACACGTCATTTCAAACGGGGGTAAAACAGTGTACCAGCATCGAAGTGTATAGCGAGTATGGATGGAACTACAAGAGGAAGAAACACTTAATTTTGTATGTAATCACGCGATACACAACCAGCATAGAAATATCAGCCTCGACAAAGCGTCAATTTGGGGGATGTGTAGAATGGCTCTGATGGGAACTACCCATCGTCATGCAATCCAAATCAACTCTCCTACAGTGAACACATACGCTAGCTACACCTTCGTCCACACATGTGGACCACAAACTAGTTTGGCACGAAGACTCATGCTGGAAAAACCTTCTCAGAAGACGCAGGAAAGGTCCACGGACTTGGAGCCGCTGCAGCAAAACAGAAGGAAAAGGGAGAGGAATAAATTACTGGAGCGGTTGGTATCTGATGCACAATTTGTCACCCAGCCTGCTCTACGGAACCGGCAATATAAGCTCAAGCGTGGCTTTCAGGCGCCTCAATACAGTCAGAATCAGCGGAGAGTTGAGGGCAGAAACATTTTATCTACGTGACTGTGTTGCTCGAATTGTGGAGGTGGAGAAGAGGGTGAGACGGAATATTCCACGCGACTTTCACGAGGCACTCACCGGTCGGTCGGCAGGTGGGTTCCGAATTTCGTTTTCTTGCTGAACGCCCAGATGATGCTGTTCTTGCCGGCCAGGTTGAGGGATTTCACGCCTCCCTTGGCCGGCCGAGAGAACTTCAAAACAAGGCTGCCGGCGATGGTACTAATACTGGACGACGAGACAGTCAGCTTGCTGGACGTGTACGCGGTGTACGAGGTCAGCTTATACGTTGTAACGGAGCCGCCCTTAATGCCGACTACCGCGTCGGAGGGAGACATCAACCCGTCCTTCGAGGGGAAACCAACGGAGAGGTAGCCCTTGTCGGCACCGCTGGTGGATTTCGCCTCGATGGCGCCGTTAAGGGTCGAGCCGGAGATCGTCCAGTGGAAAAGCAGCCTGAGGAACACCACGTGAGCAGGGAGGGAAAGAGGAGGAGCTGAGTAGGCGAAACCGTTTGTTAGACGTTACAGTTTTTCCATGATGCATGATACGCGAGCCATGTGCATAGTCCGTTTCGTGAAGAAAACAGTGCATCGTCCGTTTTGATGCTTTCCTCCATCCGTGTTTCAGTGTTACCACCGTTTCATCGTGCATGCAAGACCGACGGAAAAATGTTATGGATGGCGACCGTGACGCGGACATACCCCTTTCCAAGCTCGGTTGCCGCCTTGTATCCCAGCGACGACTTGACGCAGCTCTTCTTTTGCGTGACGCCCTTGCCCTTGATTCCTGCCGTGACGCCCTTGCTGCTGGTCAGCCCAGAAGCGCTCCCTCCGCTGCTCTTGTTGTGCCCGCCGCTCTTGTGGTGCCCTCCGCGCGTGCCGTTGCGGGTATGGTGGCCAGCGCCTCCGGAATGTGTGCGGGCGAAGACAGATGGTGCGACGAGGAGGGCGATCACCAGGCAGATGAGGAATGTGCGAGCCATGGAGAGAGTGGTTTCAACCGATATTTACTTGGTGCGAGACAGGCTCACGCACGGGAGTGAGGAGGAGGCGATACAGTCAATAGGAGCTGTAATGGGAGCTGTATATAGGTCGCAAAATGAGGAGCAGTGATGAGGAATGGTGAAACGAGGTTGTTAGCTCGACAATTTGTAGGCAAGCATTTGACTTGCTGCGTCAGGAAGATCTGGGGGAAAGATGCTCAATGTTCAACTCAAATGTCTGGACGAATCGCACTCACTAGCTGAGCCGAGGCGCGTAGCGAGGGCAGGCGAGGGTCGTTGAAACTTCGTCTAAGCCGCGAAGAAATGTCACCTGGCGAATCAGGAAAAGTTCGCCAGGGGACTTTTGGTCTGTGCATTGCTCCGTACACACGACTCGGACTGAAGGCGCAGAACAAGTCGCTCGCTGACGAGACGCTTGGCCAGCAGGTTATCCCCGAACCAGGCAGTCCGAGCCAATGTGACAGCCGTGATTGGTGAGATTTGACGGTGTGATTTGTCGGAAGCAGCGCCAAACCACATTTTTATGTGCTGCGCACGTGCTCACCCACCACCAATGTGGGTCCAGGCAGACCTAAGCTGACAAGGGCGGCCTGGGAGCCGAGAAGGATGGAAGAAGTTTCCTTCTTTGAGAAGTATAGAAGGGGGCCGTTCGCTGGCAATTTTCCGAGAGGAACAGGGAGGGGAACGGGCGACCAAATCCCGCGCGCATGGAATCTGCGCAGCCAAAGCTACGTAAATTTTTTTGTGTGCCCCTGTACTTTGGTAATCATAACGTCGCCGGCTCATGATTACGTCGGTCACGACTGCAGGACTGGATAAGACAAACTCGTGGACAGTGAGAGTGGGGCCCATCAAAAGCCCTTTTAGCCCATCGCACTTTCGTGGAAAATCTAGCGGAGAAAATGAGATTCACACAATTTTGTCAAAACTGCCCTTTTTTTTTACATTTCAAAATTTGACCGATTGGATGGGTATGAGCTGGCGCAATTGCGCAAATCGACGGGTAGGATTGAAGGGGAAGTGGCTGCGGTTTTTTTTTGGGTTTCGTAAACCTGCCCAGCCAAGAGGCATGCCAATCTTGGCCTGCCTCATACCACGATTTTGCAGTATGAGGTGTGGCACGTAGTTTGCCTGGCAGCTCTGGGCGGCTGATGGCCGCGCTTCGGGTTTGGCATGAGAAGGAGCACGCGATTTGGGGGCAATTGGTTTGGGGAAACCGAACCGACGAGACGTTTTCGCATGCTGACGTCACGTTTCGCAAACTGGGTTCGGCGAACCAACGAAGCCTCGATCGATGTTACTCCAAACCCCTCCTTGTATGCCTCTCTCTTACTACTCCAAACCTCTTTTATCTCGACACATTTCCTACCCTCCTAGCTAAACCCCCGCCACATTCATGGCGGCCTTCACTACCTCCTAGCCTAGTACTAGCTCTTTGACATGGTTTCAGAGCAGGTGTCCGTTTACGGGCCTGCTCCCCACGCTTCCGCCGCGTACTTGTTTTTCGGCTGTCTTCGTTCCGTGCCGCCGATGGCGGCCTTTAGTTTTACTGCCGCCGTGGCGGCCTCTCCGAGATGCCGCAGCGGCTTAGTCGTGCTACTGCCGCACCTCCGCCTCGCCGCCGCGGCGTCGACGTCGCGCTGTGGCGGCGTCTTTTGGCTGCCGTGGCGGCGTCGTCGGGCGACAGCCGGCCGCGCATCGTCAGTGGTGCCGCCGGACCTGCCGCCCGCTCTGCAGCCGCCGGCGTGATTCTGGACTACGCCCCGCTCCCCCCCCCCCCCCCCCCCTTTCCTTCCCTTCCGTTCCCCCTTCTTGCCACAGTCGACGATTGCCTCGTGAAGGCCGTCCCCGTCGCCGAGGAGCCCGGCCATGCCGCCAAGAGGGCGGGGGCCGCTGCAGTAACCTCTGACGATTGAAGCCGCCGCCGCCGACGCCGCTGTTGCCGCTGGCCTGCTGCCGCCGCACGCCGTCGCCGACCCTGCTCTCGTCACTGCCGCCGCTGCCGCCATAGCCGTCTCCCGGGCCGTGGGACTGGACCAGTCCCGACGGCATCTCAGCTGCTGCTGGGCATGGGTGCTTAGTTACGGGGTGTGGGGGTGTTTGTGTGGGCTTGACACTACCAAGCCTAGGGGGTGTGTTTAAATTATCTAAGTTATAATTTATATAGGCTTGGTAGGTTGTTACTGAACCTTTCTGTAGAGGGCACAAACCCCTCCTTGTATGCCTCTCTCTTACTACTCCAAACCTCTTTTCTCTCGACACTTTTTCTACCCTCCTAGCTAAACACCCGCCACATTCATGGCGGCCTTAGAGACCTGCTTGAAACGCGGAGTTGATACACAGGTGGAGTGGCTTGCGACGTGGCGCTGTTTACTCAGTCGCTGCATACGCCAGCCAAGCCGCCTATGCACAGTACACAAAAAACAACGCTCCATTTCGTGGGAAAACCCCATAGTCCACATTGACCCTATCGTACGGCCAGAATTTGTTAAAAGGGAAATCTCTCGTTTTGCCCCCCGTGCTCTCAGGGAATATGACTTATACACATTGCGATGCGAAACGCGGGGATAAACGCGGGGAGAACATGGAAACACGTGGTATGCGTAACCAGCAACTGCTTCTCGCATGGAGCACATCCAGCTTGCCTTTGGAGCTGCCACTTGGTCCGTGTGGAAGGCCGTTCTAAAACAGGTATAATGGTGTACCAGCAGCGAACTGTATCGCGAGTATGGTTGGAACCACAAAAGCAACACAAAAGCATCGATATGAATGAGTAATGTGGTTGATGTCCATGTAATCACCCAATATACAACGAGCATAAATCTCCTCCTCAAACCCACTCATAACTACGAGGATCCATGGGATGACTCTGGATGGGAACTACCCATCGTCATCCTAAACACCTACCCCACAGAATACATGCGCCACCTACGCCTCAAATGGTTACACGGTAACACGAGGCAGGCACCTACATTCAATCTTGTGGACTACTGACCATTCTCATAAGCCGCATGACATATCCACGGACTTGGAGCCTCTGCAACACGATAGGAGCAACAGGGAGAGGAAGAAATGACGAAGCGGTTAATTTTGAATGAACAACCAACCTGATATGCAAAGCCAGCAAGTCTTGCAAGCGTGCGTTTCAGGTGCCTCTTTACAGTTAGGAACAACGTAGAGAAATGGACGAAAACATTGAAGCTCCATTTGGGAAGGTGGGGAGGGAAATAAAAAAGAGGGGAGAAATTCCTCGCGGCTTTCAAAAAACACTCACCGACCGGTCGGCAAAGGACTCTTAACTCTTCTTTTCGTCGTAGCCGCCTGGATTGAGCGACACATGACTGTCCAATACACAGTAGACACGCTTCCGTGGTTCCCTTGGGCGTAACGTGAAGGCACTCACCGGCCAGTGAGAGGCCCGAATGACGGTGTAGGGCCGAATACCCAGATGACGCCGTTCGAGCCTTTCAGGTCGAGCAACAAATGACCGATAAAAAAGGGGAAAGAAACGCCCTGTCGCGCATCCCTAAAAGGCACTCACTGGCCAGTGTGAGGCCCGAATGACGGTGTAGGGCTGAACGCCCAGATGATGCCGTTCGAGCCTTGCAGGTCGAGGGACTTCACGCCCCCCTCAGCCGGCCGAGAGAATTTCACAACAAGGCTCCCGGAGCTGTTATCAACAATGGGCGACGAGATAGCGAGCTTGCTGGGTGAGAACGCGCTGTACGAGGACAGCTCGTACGCAGTAACGGGTTGCCCGTTAATGCCGACCACTGCGTCCGAAGGGGCCATCGCCCCGTCCTTCGAGGGGAAGCCGACGGAAAGGTAGCCCTGGTCTGCGCCGCTGCTGGGTTGCGCCTCAATAGCCGCGTCGAGGTTTGAGCCGGAGACGGTCCAGTGGAAAATGAGCCTGAGGAATATCACGCGGTAAGGGAAAAAGGAGAAGATTAGATGAAACCAGGGGAGAGATAGCCCTGGTGTGCGCCGCTCCTGAGTTGCGCCTCAATCGCCGCGTAGATGCTTGAGCGGAGACGGTCCAGTGGAAAATATGCTTGGAGAAAATCACGCGGGCAGAAAAAACAGAATGTGGAACTTAGACAGCATAGAAGCCCTTTTATGAAATGCGAAAGTTGTGAGAAGATGTATGGATTCTCAGAGATTTGTGATGAATGACGAAGTATCCACCCCGCATGCACGACCGACCAAACGAGATGAGTGTGTTTGTATGAGTTGTGGTGGTATGCTGGTGACACACCCACTAAGGTGTGTTGGTATGCTGGTGATACACCCACTAAGGTGTGTTGGTATGCTGGTGATACACCCACTAAGGTGTGTTGGTAACATACCCGTCTGCGAGATCGACCGACGCCTTGTATCCTAGATTCGACGGGCCGCAGCCTGGTTTGGGCGTGACGGTCTTTGGCGAGTCGCTCGGTGGCGTGACGCTCGGTGGCGTGTCGCTCGGTGGCGTGACGCTCGGTGGCGTCACGGCCGTGCTGCTGGTTGATCCAGATGCGCTCCCTCCGCGCTTCTTGTGGTGCCCGCCGCTCTTGTGGTGTCCGCCGGTCTTATGGTGGCCGACGCCTTCGGGATGCAGGCGGGCGAAAACGGTTGGTGCGACGAAGAGGACGATCGCTATGCAGACAAGAAGTGTCCGAGCCATGCTTGAGAGGGGAAAATATGGATGATCTTGATCGGAGTCTAGGCTGCCGGAGACAGCTTACAGAGGGAAAAGTCTGGGAGGAGTAGGACTGCTGTTGGAGAGTGGTGTCGTGGAGAGGAATTTGACGAGGGTGAAAATGTAGTTGCTTGCTTGGCAATTTGTACCAAACCCTGGAAATTGGAATCCCTGCACGATGGAGATTCGGGGGAGGAGGAAGAAGCTTGATGATCAGTTCAATGTCTGATCGTGTCGCATTCACTGGTGGATACGAGGCACGTCGCGCCTCGTGCACTCTGCTGGATGTGAGATTTCGTCTGAGAGGGCTGGAGGCACGCGAAAGCAAGCATTGTTGAGATTTCGTCTATGTCACGAAAGAATGGCGATTGGGACAATTTCGTCAGGAGGGGTTTGTGTCTGTGTTCTGCAGAAACTGACTTGCACGACCGCAGATCAAGTTGCCCCCTGACGAGACGCTTGGCCTGGCCAGCTGGCCTAAACCCGAACCAGGCAGCCTGAGCCGACTTGACGGTCTCGATTAAAGAGATCTGTCGTTGGGAATTGTTGGAGCGCCAAACCACATTTCGGTGTGCTGTGCACGCGCTCGACCAAGCGTGGTCAAGGTCAGGTCCGAACTGACAAGGGCAGTTGGGTGGCAGCCGGGAAGTACGGAAGAAGCTTCCGTGCGCCCTTTTTGCGGCTCGCCCTCCTCTGTGCAATATCACAAACCAGACGCGTAAGTGTATCCGTAAGTGTATCTGTAGGGTATAAATAGACTCCATTTTAGGGCATTTCAACGTTTTCCACTAACCAATTATTTTCATGTGAGACTCATGAATAAATAAATGACGATTGCGATTACCAAGTTTAGCTATAACTAACATGCTAACTGGCCAACCTAATATGTATGGAAAATAGTGAGTATCTTGTCTGATGCATATGGTAAAGATTGTATCTCCAATCGTCTACCTAGTATAAGTGGCATCAGTGATCAGACCTTGCATGCCAGGTTCACCACTGCACTACCCCTGCATCACACACAAGCAACAAGGGAACATGTCACCAAGAGACTCAGAGATGCCAGGAGTGATGCTGACAAGGTATCAAGATTCAGGAAATGGGGTATGCCAACTCTCAGAATCCATCCAGTATCTACGCCTCAGGTACCACCGGACCTCTGAAGACACGAATGTAAATGACGTCGACATGACAGGTTTTTCCTGTATGTGCCTCGTACCTGTGTCTCATGTGTCCTCCAAACACCCTGGTAGCGCCGTTGGAGGAGTAGGACCAGATGAAGGTGTTAATGCCCCCATACTTCACTGGTACTGACCCACCAGGCCCGCTCCTCGTAAACCTGGTAATTTGGGGAAGTAAAAAATATGCACCCATATATAGTTAGGCCTGCACACGCTCCAGGCCGCACCCCCTGTGAACCTGGCCTTACAGCACCAGGTAGTTTATAGGGTAGTTGAAGCGTCTGGGATTGAGTATTGGGATAGGTAAGAGAGGTTGGAAGCAGAGAAGCCTCCAGAGTTCACGTGAAACAAGCTGAGTAGTTGACATGAAGCACACATAACTCCCAGAGGCTCACCTCACCACAGTGCCGCTCTTTGTGACTGTAACGGAGGTGTTGGCGATCTTGAAATTGTTAGCCATTTCGTACGTCCCCATCGTAAGGCTCTTCATATTGAACGCTCCCACCAACGGGCCCTTGCCCTTGCCCTTGCTGCCCACGGTACGGTTACCAGAGTTACCGCTTTTCGTGCTGTTCGTGCTCCCGTCCCCAGATCCGCTTCCCTTCTTCGTCCCGCCACTCCTGGTGCCGTTTCCGCCCTTGCTGCTGTTTCCGGTCTTAGTACCAGTCGCACTTAGGTAAGCAATGGGCCGTGGCTGCTTGGGGCCGATGCCTCCAGGCTTGGGATCCAACGGAAGCTTCTTGCCAGTGGAGGGAATGTAATTCCCAAGGACTACATCGGAGCCCGCCATTTTGCCAGTCTTGGAGAAGCCTATAGCGAACCAGCCCTTGCTCGCCCCTCCATCAGCAACGGTCCTCGCTTCTAATGCTCCGTTAAGTGTGGAGCCCTGCACTTTGAAGTGGAAGTACAGTCTGCAAAGGCGTCCAGATGACCAGTGGACGGTGGGAGAGAGAGAAGGGGGGGGGGAGAAAGGGAGAGGGGAAGACGATGTGAAGTGACGAAGAAAAGCGATGGAGTAGGAGAGGAAGCGTAGAAAACGGCAAGGATTTTGATGGATTGTGGCAAATTTTGACGGATTGTGACTTGAAAGCAAATGTAGAAAGAGAGCCTGGCAAGGAAGAGAAGGGAGAAAGTTTTCGGGAGGAACGGACAGTGGTATACCACGAACTGCAAGAGGAACCAACGGTCTGCGAGGTGGAGAGCGGTGCGAGAGGGGGGGTAAACTGTAGCGCAAAATGAAAGTGACTTCCCATGTTGGACGCTCGGTCAACAAACGCCCGGACGAGGTCGGACGAGGCCGGACGAGGTTCGGTCTACAAACGTCCGGACAAGGCCGGACGAGTTTCGGACGAGGTTCGGCCTACGATCGCCCGATGCGGACGAATCGGTCGAGAGTTTTCTGGGAGCATTTTCGCGCGACGCCAAGGAAATAACTCACCCTGCGTATTCGGACAGCGCGATCATCGCCGTGAAACCCGGAAGAGTCGACTTTGCACACGGCTCTGGCGTCTGCTGTTGTCCTCCTTGTGACCCGGGACGAAGACCCAGCAGCCCTCGCTCCAGCGCGTGAGGGCTGATGATACTTTGGTCCGGTATGTTCCTAGCCTCTGCTAAACGAACGGAACCCCGGGCGAGGGCAGTGTGAAGTTTTTCTTGCCCGCGTTCTGATACGGAAGTCGACGTGGACGATAAGAGCAGTAGGAGAACCAAGCCGCTAGATGCGAGGGTGAGGGAGTTAACCGGGAAACTGACGGACGTCAGTCTTTGACGGAAAGCCATCGCGATATTGGTCCAGATGGTTTTGGTATGTTAGAGTCCGATATCTGATAGTGTAGGAAATTAAATTATATGTTTGATTTCCGTGACGCGGAAGCTGTCTTACAACCGAGCTGCCCTTCTTCTTAGTTCCAGCCGATGAGCGGACTGATTTAGGCCACCAGTTACGTGATCTAGGTGTAGATGCTGATGGTCGATACCTATTCGTGAAATTTCCTCGTGAAGGCACTCTGTCGCGAAAGAAAACCAGTGGAACTTCGCAAGACGAGGGCGCGAAGGCCTGATCTCTACACGAGCGTTTCGAAATAAGATAAGCGTAAGGTAAGCAGTCAGTGCGCGTCTAAGCGTAAGCAGGCTGGACATGCGATTTCCAAGCTTCGAAAGGGGTACTGTACATGATGGTCTGCTGGTGCTCTAGGCTGCTGAGGAAAATGTGCTCGCCTGATTTTGTTGAGGCCTGGTTGGCGATGGCGACGCGCGCTGACGGCACGGCGGGAAAAAGGTCGAATGTGGGAAATGCCCGTCGCGACATCGAAACGAGCCGTTGATTTGGAGTGAGATTCGCGATTCGACGACTCTTGCCCGCAGCAGCAGCCAGCCAGTCCCATCAGGGAAATTTACGTACACACCGACAGTGACTTGTTTTGTTGGGTCTGGTCCGGATAGGGACACTGACGGCTACCTGGAGTCTGACCAATGTTTGGTCTCGCTCCCTTTTGCTTTCTGTCGGTGAATCCAAAAGTTTGGCGAATTTGACAGATTTCGGCCGTCACCGTGACCACATATTTTTTTCAGCATTCGTTTTTGTTTTGCGGGCAACGAAATCTCTGAAATCGGTGTTTTTCCCGCCTCCCGCTCGTTAGAAAACAGTGGACAGCAGCACAAGTTCCAATAAGGCGAACCACTGGAAATGCTTCGACCGCAATCGTACATGAGATGCAGGCACGGGATAGTACACCCTCCGGCTCGCATTATTCACGGTTGCTGTGCGTTTTAGCACGGGGATGAAACGTTTAAAAATGTTTTAGTGCGGTGGAGGGTCGACTAGGTATGCGATGCTCGAAGTGCGGAGGTGTACCGCGCTCTGCCAACACGTGATCCCATGTCTACTTCCTTCCTACTCTCTGGTCGCTATTACACTTCCTGCCTGATGTTGTGACGAACAAGAGGAGGCTGGTTGACGAGCAGTGACGACAAAGGAGCTTTTTTATTGTTGATTGAAGCGCCCAGTCGTCCAATTGCAACTTTCCAGCCAGCATTCTAGTTTCACAATGCGACACAAGAATAGGAAGCGTGATATTTCTTGTAAATGGACAAACACTTCTTAATTCGACGAATTTTCGTAGGGGCATGCGGTCCTAGACCATCGCGAATCAGGTGATGAGGCCATGCTAGTAGTCTATGATGGAATCGTTGTATAAGTGGCTTCTCTCGTGCCATGCAATCACTGACTGCAGGGCACTGCCATTAGATATTCGCATGGCAAACCACTACTTGCACGTGCCGAAGTTGATGGAGACAGCTCCCCTGAAAGAAGCGAGCAGATGGAAACAGCACCAAAGAGGAGGAACAATGAAATGAGCACTTTGCACTGACGAAGCTGACTTTTGAGTCGACTCAGAGGAGCGAACAGATGGAAACATCACAAATTAGGAGGAACAATGAAATGAGCAGCTTGCACTTCCCTTCACTCGCCTCACTCCTTCCCGCCCACTCCCCATTCTCATGGGCACGGACACGGTCGGTTGTCTTCCCCATTCTCGCGGTCCCCTGTCCCATCCTTACCTGTTGGTGGGGGTATGGTCGTTGAAAACCTTCGAATTGCCGCCCTTGGAGGTGGCCCACAGGAGAATGTTCTTCCCTGCAAGATTCAGAGCCACGTTGCCCTTCGCCGTTCTGGTGAACCTGCAACAAACGAGTACAAACGGCACGGATACATCGAGAGAGAGAGAGAGAGAGAACGAGGTCAGCACGCGGGTGCAGGGAAAGCCGAAGCAGAATGAGAAGACGACGCGCATCTAAAACAGACGGAATACCTCCGGACGATCAGGTGACAAGCGTCACTCTATCCAATCGAGTACAGGGACGTGCGGAAACCCAATCAATCGGAAAGGCAACAGTCGCAGGGACGTTGCAGGTCAACCGAACGCGACGCGCATTGCGGTTCGCAGGCATCCACGTGTCCCAGCAGGCACGTGTACGGAACTCACTTGACAATAGTCGAGGCAGCGGTCGCAGTGACGGTGGCGGCAGTGATCTTGAAATTAGGCGACGGCTTAATCGCTGACTTGGAGATGCTGCTCATGAGGTAAGCCTGGACGCCGCCCCCCGCGTTGCCGACGATGGCGTCCGAACCAGTCATCTTGCCCGCCTTGGAGAAGCCGAGCGAGATCCACCCCGTGTTCACCTTGCTCGCCGCCTTGGCTTCAATGGCTCCCACAAGGTTCGCGCCGACGATCTTCCAGTGGAAAAACACACTGCGGGAGGAGAATTGGCAGGGGAGGGAAGGGTGGGGGAGAATGAGGGTTGGGAGAAAGGGGTGAGGAAACCATAGGCACATTTCAGCGCACGCGACGCATTCGACGTTTTAAGTTACTCGCGGCTTTAAATTGATATCATCGGTACCACATGCCAACGACGCTGAAGGTTGAGATTAGCGGTATCCGCCAACTCTGTCGAATTGAGTGGAAGTTATCGTAAATGTCACCTCGGGTTACTCAGATGTCGTGACAATAATTCAGAAACATGGAAATCAGAAGAGGAGCGGAAGGTACGCGCTCGGCAGTGCTTCAGCGCTCTAGAACGCATTTCAGTCGTTCGTACAGCAAGTGGTCGATCTAGTCGCGTACGAGAGCGGCAGTCGTCACGTCCGTCACGGAGGTTACAAGAGCGATAAAGCGTTACGTCGAAGGTCGTTACGTTACATCACAGGCCAACGCACGGAGGTCAGATCAAAGTCGGGACTTACTTGGGCCTTAATTGGACCATCTTCTTGAAATCCTTGCTGAGCGTCGACGGCTTGCACACGCCAGGCACCACCGTGATGCCGAGCGCACCAGACGCAGACAGCAGCATCAGAAACACGAGCGACAGCGCTGATCTCGCAAACGCCATGATTTCGATGATAGCAGTCGTGCGTAGGAAGGGAAGCTTTGAGAGCGGGAGACGAAGAACGGAGGCGTAGAAAGGATGGAGCAATGGCGGGAAGCGGAATGGAAGTGAATCCTTGATGGGAGGTTGTGGCAGGGAGAAACAGCGGGTACTAGTAGGCTGTTGGCGACTGGGCTTTTGGTTCGACACGAGGTGAAGGTATGGTAGCAGCAGGAGAGGCACCCGATTTCAACGGTGGGCTCCGTGCTCTATCTGGACACTGCTGTACTACTGTATGGCGCGGTGCGGCGGATGTGATCCTGAAATTCAGCCCAGCGGCGTGCCAGTGTCGCGGCAGCTGTGTGCTGAATGCGCGTCGCATGCTTGTTGGTTTGTGGTTCGGTTGGTTTCTGTTCGGTTTGGTGGGAAGGAAGGCTCGGCATCCGCGACGCGGCGAATTTCCTCGCTTGCGGTCGAGTCATTTCTTGACATGTGGAAATGTCATCTGGCGGTAAGCTTTTCGACGGTGCGGAGCTCCACATGTGCATTCCCATACCAGTGGCAAATTCCAAACCACGTTAGTCTTGACTGCAATCGGAACGTCCCGTTGGCGAAACAATCGTGAATGGCGACGCGATGGTGAGCGACGATAGGCGATCACTTCTCCAGGCCCTGGTTTTTTCGCGCGCCAAAAGATGACCACAAACACCGAGTTACCGACATGCTTTCTGGTTTCCCCTCACCTCACCCTCCCAGCCCCCCACGACACGAAATGGATGTCATTTTTCCACGGCGAGTCAGCAGAATTCGCGCAGAATTCCCCGCAGCAGACATCGCAGAAGACAAGCTGACCGACCACCCAACCGCGCTGTACGGTACCGCAATACTGTGCCAAACCAGTGCGAAGATTTGTCTGGAAAGGAGCAACATGTGTGTTTATGTAGCGATTCGGGCAATAGGATGTTGAACACCCTCTGTGGCTCTTCTCATTGCGCGCACATCCCCGATTCATTCGTGATTGTGAGGAAATGGTATTTCCTTATCACAGGTTTTATTTAGTAAGGCGTACACTGCTAAAACGGGGTTGCCGTGCAGCTCTGCCACGAAATTCAATTCGCTGTCCCAAATGTTGCCTCCTAACGGATCGCATGTATTGTTGCCCGCCTTGCTGTTGCTGACAGAACTCAGCCACTATCCACTGAGTTAAAATGGCTTGTTAATAGCGAGTCAGTGCGCCCATAGCCCCCCAGGCTCTGCACCTGTGGCCCTTCCCCGAGGATCTTCTCAAGGGTAACCCCAGCGTGTCTCTCGACAGTTGCATGCCTAGATCTGGGCGCTCCGCGCCATTTTACGAATCAAATGTCGCAGCTCTGCAGAGCCATGACCTTGTGCTCCTAGGCTAGCTATATCCACGCTCCCTGTTGTTTGATGTTGTCTCAGTTGTATTTTTTCCTCGTTAATCAATCCTTCGACACACGCTCGTTGCACTTCCTTACACATGGCCATAAAAGCCAATGATCATCAGCCTTGCGCTCTAGTTCCACTGTAATACCGACACTTGGGGAGGCTGATGCCCTGCGCTTAGTGCATGTCCGCTGTCCTGGTAATATTCATTGATAATTACCTACAGCCACGACTGTGCTCGCAGTGCCAGCGTGCTGAAAGCCGCCCAAAACTTTTCGCGAAATTGTGGATCTGTCGGCATATACTAGCATGACTCTTGAGGAAAGGGCGGCACTTCTCGATGAAGTCCGTCTCACTCACGAGTTTTACCAGCCGGAGTTGGCACGTCTGCGAGCTGAAACGACCCGAGCTGAATCTGAGATATTTGCACTTCGAAGCCAACAGCAGCAGACACGACACAACACGATCGCACCAACGACAAATCAAGGACAACAGGAGCAAGAAAGCTAGCAGCGTTTCAAAATACCTGACGACAATCAGCGACCACATGCGGCTTCGCCCGAGGGTTCGATGAACAACCCGTCACTAGCCATTAGACGAGCAGAATTTGGCGAAAGGACGAATGTGAACTTGCCGCCCCCAATCACCTCTCCGATCGGCCTTCAAAGTGCCAACGCCAATATGGCGCAAGGCATTCTCAAGACGCAGAGGCCGCCCACGCTCGACCCGAGCCAGCGTGATACTCTGTCCGTCAGCGGGTGGATTTTTCACCAAAATGTCTTTTACGACTGCAACCTTGTCAGCTATGACGCGCAAAAAATTCGATACGCCGTGTCATTGCTACGTGGACCGGCTATGGATTGGTGGCAGCAGATCATTCAGTCTCAGGAGCCGGATACGACGCCGCACGTAATCGGGCGTTTTCGCACGACCAATCACAAGGCAGGCAATTGTTGCGAGGTGGATGAGTATAGCACGTAGCAATCGTGGTGCGCGGGAATTTGTCGCCGCTTTGAACACGTCAACGCAAGCATTCAACACCACCTTCGCACATGGGCCAACTTGGATCGGTCCAGGACTACACAAGCAGCTTCAAGAATTTATGCGATCAGGTCGGGTACATTCAACCTGACGAAAAATTCGATACATTCATTGGGTGACTTCGACCAGATCTGCGCAGAGAAATACAAGTCCAAGAAATTACAGATTTAATGGAGGCGCAGAGGGTTGCGGAGCGGTTGGATTCGTTCTACAGATGAAGGACGGGATCCTGTAACAGAAACCGCACTCGGGGACCAATCGAGCGTGCCATTGTACACGCTGTTACAACATCGAACTCAGTAGTTACTGCCTTTAAGGGTCGCTGTTTTGGGTGTAACAGACCAGGACACCACTAGTCGGAATGCCCAGAGGAGCGGAAGAAGCGGAATCAGGGACAGGGGAGTTCCAGCGACCAGGGAAACTTTAGTGTGAGAGTACGACCCCGTTACACCAATTTCCCCTTTCCATATTTCCTTTCTATTTCATTCCTCTTTTTATCCTCATTCATTTGGTCTTTATCTCATCTCATTTGGTTTCCTATTCCTCCTTTTCCATTATCCTTTGGTTTATCCTGTTATTATAATTATATCACCGACCAGGCTCGGGATGTACTGGCGTGCTATATCTAGCGTAATCCTGCCGTTATCCCTTAAAGCCAATAGCCTCGCGTGGCTATACGCATGGTGATTCTATTTCTAGAAGGGTCTATTCCCTTTGGATAGGATAAACCTGGTTACCTGATGTATCTTGGAAGTATAAAAGCACCTTGTATTGATTGATAGTGCAACATTGAGCAAACCTTTCCTCGGGACACTCGATCCTGTGACACTTGGTAATCAGAGCCAAGGTTTCAGCTCAACGCTTAACCGCTGGGCCCCCAGGAGCACGCGGAGGATGGAGTCGAAACTTCAATTCCTGTAAGTACAATGCACTTTCATTTAAGTTTTGACGTTCCTCTCGCAGTTGCACCTGGGGTCCTCTTCGAAGGCGAGATGCCTCGCCAACCGTTCGATGGACTGCATCGACGGTGCCGATTTTTCGCGGGGGCAAACGGCCTCGACCTGGCGAGCGCGTCAGTTCCGGCGGAACATTCCCTGCGACATTCGGAGAAGTTCGCAGTTCGCGACAACACTTGGAGTTGCGCGGAACTCTGCGGAGCTTCGACCGACGACATCCGTCCGATGGAGATTCGACGCTTCAGATCGACCGAGGCGAAAACGAAATCCTGCTGAGCGAGTTCGAGTTTCAGCGCGACTGGGAACGGGACCTCGTAAGCCGTGAAGTTCTTCGGAGCGTCCGATCTTTCGACAGCCGACATCGACGACCGAGAATTGCTGCAGGAAACGAGTTAACCCGTGCACCGAAGGCTGCTGAACGCGACTCAGGAGTATCCTCAGATCGCTTGGATTTTGGACCGTCGGATCAACTTCTACTTCAACGGACGAGATGGAGTTCGACTTCTGCACAAAGGAAGATTGACGCGCAGAACAAGAAATCAGCCGCTTTCGACACCATTGTCGAAATCCTTCATTGGCGACGAATATGGCGCCCAGATGATCTACAGAGTCAGAAATCTGCCACAGTATTACCTACTTGGTAATAGCTACAAGCAGAAAAGCTGACAGGCGAACGTGGATCGTCGGATCGGTGCGGAATCAACGGCACGAATGCAGCAGAGTCTACACTATGGAAAATCATCATCATGGAGACAACATTCGTGACCAGCGACTGCACAATCGACGCATCTTCTAATTAGTGTCGATAACGATCGATTTATTTCGACGAAGTCATCTTCGTTAAAAATGGATCGACATCAAGACAACGAATCTTCATCCAGGAAAAACAATGGAGCTGCGTGAAGACATGTTCTCCATCCACGAGACACTTCTTCATACAAATTGATCGACAACCTATGGGATTGCAGATAAGTAGCCGTTTTCTCTCGCAATGCTCCCAAGTTCAAGTTGCTGCGAAGGAGCAGATTTCGCACGCAACGACGACGCAGTGAACCCGTCTCGTCAAGGCCAGCGAGACACTACTTCGTAACAGGAGCTGATCGATTCATCTTCATCAAGAATCTCAGCCATCCGAAGTGATTGATTGGAGCAGTCTCAACATCAACCTCACGAGGCGACACACCAATCATGCGTCGCGATTCCAGGTGTTAATGACCTGCGTGGAAGAAAATTCCGTGCACGTCACGATGCTTGACAGATTGAGGAGTAATTAACCTCTAATCCGGCAAGTACTCGTTCACTAGCGACCCTACGGCACATGCATTGGAGGCGATTCTACTAGAAGCCGAAGCGTTACAAGCACCAGCGTAACTTCGACGATGCAGGAGACCGCCAAGCAACACGAGGTGTCAACAAATGAGGGAGATGCGGACTACTACAACACGATCACGAGCTCTACCGACCGTACATCGGAGGCACGGATGAGCATACCAGGAATTGCTACCCGTGGATACATTGAGGGGAGAAGCAAATTTCTCTTCACACCCTCAAATGAAACAATCACCGGCAGCAATGGAGCAACACATGTGTACCAATGTGCACGTGTTCCTGGTAGTTCCACCTGTTACACCCATCAGGAACACTCTACTGGGAAGAGGGAGTTGATGGATTCTCCTTCAACCGGTACGAGTTGAGAGAATTCTCTGCAGCAGTTGCCGCCGTCGCCATCGTCGCAACCGCCGCCGCCGCTGCAGCAGAAGACTCGACACAACAGTCACAACCAAATCCTGATGGATGATTCTCCACTCAATGGAGATAATGCTGGATTATATTCCAGTGGATCGTAAAGTCCCGGCCAGGCACAGTACTATGATTTCCAGCTAGTGGGAAGGAGATACCACTATGCGAGGAAACAACATGGCAATGCCATATACCCTCAAGAGCAGAAGATATTTGCTCTTATGAGGATGGGAGGACCACGGTACTCTACCGGTATACAAGTCCTCATTGCCTATGGCTTTCCTTAAAGTCATAAAACCTGCGTCGCAACCAATCCATCACCAGCACCAACTCCACGGAAGCAGATAGGCGTGGAATGGAGCGCCGACGCCACTCCGGATAGTGGACTCCGCGTATCTCCAACAACACCCCTATTTGCCGAAATGGAGCAGACTTCAACACTGATGCTGAGTAGCCGAGACGTCTTCGACTGCAACGCTACTTCAAGGACAGCAACAGAATGAGACAACACATGATGGCACCAGAAGACCTATCCCAATATGTGCGCCAGACACCGATGCCTACCGATGGCCTCCGTGCTAAACTGGACGTGCATAAGGTCATACTGGATTGGCTGTCATCAATGCCCATTTGGAAGTGGGAAAGGATTACTTGGGAATACCCATAATATTCCCAAATGTCCTAACCCATCACTGTGGGATATCTACGCAGCAGAGATTCCTTGCTTGAGCAACCACCGAGGGAAACTACTTTGGCGCCGATTCTGGAAGTTACCAGCTCCGCGTTTATGGTACCAACCCCTCGCATGGTTCTGAACACAAGGGATACGCTGAGCAGCACTTCGCATGCGCTGTTGTACTCAAGGCAGTGTGACTAGCAGACCGCGTGGTGGACAGGGTTACTACTACTGATTCTGCTCTCCATTCCGCAGCACTACGATGCCGAGTGGGTACGACTCGCGACAACACTACGGCATGGACCAGCATTCGACAGAAGCTGCATGTAACGGAAACAACACTGCTACAGAAGCAGTACTACGACACGACTGCCATACCACCAACACTTGGTGATCTTCACACGTGGACCAGATGCGGGTAACAGCATGCACGGATCGGACAACATAGCCACTCATCTGCACGTTACTGCACACTGTTCCGACCATTCACATCTCCAACTCCGACTTGCATCTGCCCGTCCTGGAGTTTGCCTACAAGTATGCTCCTGACGCCGCTACTGGACAGACGCTGTACTTCGTCTGTTACGGACGCCACCCGATCACACCACAACAGCTAACCATACCAGCCACAGTCCAACTGGCTTCCGATTTCATCGCCATCGTCCACCATCTTGTACATCGACCACACAAGCGCCCTCTTGGACATCCAACATCAGCACAAGCACTTGGCAACTCATCACTACCCTTCTCGAGACCATAATCTCGACATCAGCCAACTTCCATCCAAGCTTCAACCTTGCTTCTGCGGGACTATCCTCTTTGAAGCAAAGGTCACTTCATTCACCTTCCGCTTCCGCCTCCCAGCCACTTGGAAGATCCATACCGCCTTCCATACCAGCTTCTTAAACCCTATCAAGACCAAACATGCTCTACACCAAATGCCAACCAACGCTGCCGCTCGTGTTCATCCACGACATGGGACAACTACGTGCTTGGACACCGTCGTCGTCAAAATGGCACTCTGGAGCTTCTTCTTGCTGGAAGGATTTTGATCCTTCTGACGCTGCGTCTCTGACCTCGACATGGGTAACGCCCGTCGTCCTCTTCGCGACTACCTTGTCAAGCAGGGTGTTACTTCTACCACCCAGCTTTGAGGGGGGGAAGTGTGAGAGTACGACCCCGTTACACTAATTTCCCCTTTCCATATTTCCTTTCTATTTCATTCCTCTTTTTTTTCATTCCTCTTTTTTCATTTGGTCTTTATCTCATCTCATTTGGTTTCCTATTCCTCCTTTTCCATTATCCTTTGGTTTATCCTGTTATTATAATTATATCACCGACCAGGCTCGAGATGTACTAGCGTGCTATATCTAGCGTAATCCTGCCGTTATCCCTTAAAGCCAATAGCCTCGCGTGGCTATACGCATGGTGATTCTATTTCTAGAAGGGTCTATTCCCTTTGGATAGGATAAACGTGGTTACCTGATGTATCTTGGAAGTATAAAAGCACCTTGTATTGATTGATAGTGCAACATTGAGCAAACCTTTCCTCGGGACATTCGATCCTGTGACATTTAGTATCAGTAGTTAACAGGCCTACTACTGATGGAACCTGCTCGCCCGTGACCGAGGACCCTCATCGAGTACTGGTACCGATCCACGCAATCGACCAAACTCGGTTGAATAAGGAGGGTGCCAGCCACAGTCTCATCAACCTCGCCACGGCAAAAAACATGAAGTTACCCCTCAGATAGGTGTCTACCGGAGATAGATGCCCGACTAATCGATGGGATCCCATTAGCAATAAAAGACAGGGCGGACATGATTAGGGTACGCTATGGAGGTGACTTGAACTTTTCGATGGGGATGCTGGCAACCAAACTCGACGGCTTCGACATGTTGCTGGGACGGGATTGGCTGCGACGCTTCAACCCAAGAATTGACTGGATGACTGGCAGCTGTTCCATCAAAATCAACAGCCGTAGTGTGACGTTACCAGAATGGACAAAGGGGATCACAAGTGGAGTGACGCACGTGAACTCCGTGGCGATCAAGCGAGCGGTCGCATCGGGAGCGGAAGTCTTCGCTGTAATCGTTCGTGCAGTCGACGTGGCATCGCAACCGTTCGATTTAGAGAAACAGACTGCAGCAGTGCCGGCCGCTTTAGCGCAGCTGATTCGAAATTCCCGTAGATATTTAGAGATGACCTGCCCGAGGGATTACCACCGGAATGACCCTTCAACCATCGAATAAAATTAGAACTAGGGATACAGCTCGCCGTGCAGCAGCAATTTCGATTAACACAGCCGGAGTTAGAGGAATTACGAAAGCAATTATATTTCTTACTGGAGAAAAAAATCATCCGCCCGAGCTCCTCGCCATTTGCCGCCCCCATACTGTTCACCCCGAAGAAGAACGGCGGGTACCGAATGTGCACTGACTACAGAGCACTGAACAGGGTGACTATCAAGTCGCGTTACCCTATCCCGCGCACCGACGAACTGATCGATCAACTTCCCAAAGCTCGTTACTTCTCCAAAATAGATTTACAAGGGGGTTACCTACAGATTCGCGTAGTCGTAGCTGACTATCACAAGACGGTGTTTCATACTAGGTATGGGAGTTTCGAGTACGTAGTTATGCCCTTCCGGCTGACGAACGCCCCGGCAACTTTTCAGATGACAAGATCTTCAGTTCACTCGTAGCTAAGTGTGTTATAGTTTACCAAGACAATATCCTGATCTACAGCGAGACCCGGGAGCAGCACCTAAAGACCTCGAAGCAGTTTTCACACTACTGCAGGAGCATCGGCTGCTCATGAAGGGGTCTAAGTGCAAGTTTTTAAAAGATCGCTTAGAATTTCTGGGACACGTTATTTCCAGTAAAGGCATAGAAGTGGGCCCTCGCAAGATCGAGACAGTGCAAGCCTGGCTACCGCCTAAGAACCTGCTAGAGCTGCAAAGATTTTAAGGCTTTGTCAACTATGTTCGGAGATTTACAGTATCCCGAATATGGTAGGGGTAACTGCACCGTTAACTGACCTGCTGCGGAGAGTGATTGAGTGTAGGTGGGGGGAGAAAGAGCAAGATGCCTTCTCCGTGCTCAAAACTTTTATGTGCTCAGCCCCTGTCCTTCGCATCGCCGATCCTCACCGTCCATTCGAAGTACTCACAGACGCCAGTGACATCGCCATCATAGCAGTACTATTACAAGATTTTGGCGAAGGCCTACAGCCAATCGCATACGAGTCACGAAAGCTGCACCCACCCGAGCAAAACTATCTGATTCACGACAAAAAGATGCTCGCGATCGTGCACACGTTCAAAGTGTGGCGGTGCTACCTGACGGGCGCGGACGTAACAGTACGGACAAACCACCAAAGCCTACAGTAAATCCGCACACAGCCACTACTCAACCCTCGACAGATTGGATGGTTGGATTTTATGGAGTCCAACTTCCATTACAAGGTCACCTACAAAAAGGGGGCATCCAACATCGCAGCCCCCCTTTCTCGCCCATCAGCCCATCTCAGCTCCATAATCCCCGCCCAGACTTCCCCGCTATAAACATGCCCCGCTGTATTTACCCATGGGTACCAGACGGATAGATTCTTTACGTCGGGTGCGTATGAACAGCTCGCAACGGCTAAGGGAGTCTATTACGTAAAGACAGGGACTAGCCGTATCTGGGTACCGGAGTACAGCCTACTACGGGAGCTACTTTCACAGGAAGCTCACAACAGTACCGTTTTGGGGCACTTTGGAGTGGAGAAAACCCGGCAGCAGTTGACCAGATACTATTTCAGGGCCGTCATGCAAGGGGACATGCAGCAGCATATGGTTTCGTACAGAACCTGCCAAACCATGAAATCATCGAAGCAGAAGCCAGCTGGACAGTTGCAACCGATTCCGCCGCCTGAGGGCGTGTGACAGCAGATGACGATGGATTTCGTCACGGGGTTGCTTGCCAAGGACGGCTATAATGACGCGATATTTGTCGTCGTCGATAAATTGACGAAGATTGCCCACTTCGCTGCCTGCAAGAAAAGCATCTCAGCCAAAGAAACGGCCCGCCTCTTCATCTCAACCATCGTTCGCCTCCACGGAATCGAATCCACTATCATTTCCAATCGTTACACAAAATTCACCAGTAACTTGTGGCGCAACCTCTGGGACCAGCTTGTCACGCGCATGCAATTCTCCTCCGACAACCATTTCGAGACTGCCGGACATACCAAACGGGTCAATCAGACGATGGAGCAGCTGATTCGCACCACCTACAATGACGTGGCTGACTGGGAGCAGTTACTGCCACTGATTGAGTTCACGTAAAACAATTCCTTGTCAGCCACTAGATGACAGTCACCATTCTACCTAAATTACGGATAGAACCCTACAGTATCAAGAGCCCAACAGTTCGCAGAAATATTACAGAATGCGTGGAAATGAGCAGCCGACAACATTAAAACGCGCGAATGTTATTTCTACGCGCAAAGCCAATCTACATCGACGAGCAGTAACTTACCAGGCTGGAGACTTAGTAATGCTCGACACTTAGAACCTTCGACTGCCCATTGTCCCAAAACTCCGCCCCCGCTACTGTGGACCATTCACCATCAGCCACATGATATCTTCCAATACAACCCATCTACTATTACCGGCCACCTGGAACGTCAACCCATCATTCCACGTGCGATTTCTTCGACCATACTATCAAAGTTAACGAATGACTAGAACCATGGCATACAAGGGAATATAACTTTGTGGGTTGTACTCTCTAAGGCACAACCCTGTATAGTCTATAAGAACATACAAAGATATGTTTGACACACCCCCTAGACTGGATAGGGGCAGTGCGTGGTGAGAGACAAGAAGCTCAGGGTGGCACTACTAGTCCAACCTTTGAGACGAGCCCTGAAGACCAGTCAAACGATTAATGACAAGGCAAGAGCAAAACTCGAGCGGCACTACGAATCCAGCCACTGGGAAGAGGCCACAAGGCCAGTTGGGAAAATATATATCAAGGTGTGTACACAATCAAGTCCTAGCAAATGAGAGGCTACAGGAACAAGACCAAGCTGTACACAGTGCCGATAATAATCTTTAGGCGCAAGCGCCTTCATAAAGATATCAGCTGTGTTGGCACCGGAGGCCAAGTGTACTATGCGAGCCTGGCGACACTGCTGTTGCTCGCGCAGGAGGAAGTACCACAACTGGATATGCTTCGCTCTGCCCTCGAGTCGAGGCTCCTGACACAGGAGGATCATGGCCCTATTGTCAGCGTACATGACCGGAGCAGAGCTAGGCCGCTCACCTAAGTCTGTGAGCAAGAAAGTCAGCCAACGGAGCTCCTGTGCCGCCATGGCACCAGCGTAAATCTCAGCCTCACAGCTAGACTGGGCAACAGACGACGAACGGGTGGACCGCAACGAGACAGCACCTGCACCAAGGCTAAAGCAGTAGCCCTGAGAGGACCGGAGAGTCTCGGCGTCGTCGACCCAAGAAGCGTCTGTGTGCCCGGTAAGGACCACTGGTCTGCATCCTCCTAGCACTAGACCCAAGCCCGATGTACTTGCTAGATAACACAAAACCCTCTTAGCTGCCGACCACTGCTGTGGTCGGTGTCTGCCGGTGGCCACAAAGCGAGCCAGGATGCTGAGAGGGTATGCGAGATCTGGATGAGTGCAAGTCATCAAGTACATGAGGCAACCCACCAGCTCTGTGTAGGGGCCACTAGGCTCTACAGCCTCCGAGACTGGAGCAGAGAGTCTGTGGTCTACTAGTAGAGGGGTGGGCTATGCGGAAGAGAACTAAAGGCCGAACCTCTGAAGGACCTGACACACCACATGTGACTGCGAGAGAGTGATGGTGCGCGCTACTCTGTCCTTGGAGATCTGCAGGCCAAGGTAGCGGCGCAGCTCTTTTAGGTCAGTGTAGATGTGTCTCCTCAGCACCTCAGCCTTTATGGAGGCCAGCGCGTCTCTGTCTACAGTAGCAAAGACCAAGTTGTCTACGTAAACAAGGATGTGGAAGGGAGTCTGGCAGGAACGGACGAAGAGCGAGGGGTCTGCAGATGACGGAAAGAACTGCAGGTCAGCAAGTGTAGCACACAGTGTGTCGTGCCACTCATGGGGCGCCTGTCGCAAGCCGTAGACGGGGCGCCGGAGGAGCCACTCGGTACCAGGGGGAAAGGTACCGGAGAAATCCTAGGGGCGGCGCATGTAGACCTGCTCATGTAGACTGCCATGGAGGAAAGCTGTAGAGAAGTCGAGGGAGTGGAGCTCGTAGTCATGCTGGGCTGCTACATATAGCAGTGCTTGAAGAGAAGTCATCTTTGGGGTCAGGGCGAAGGTCTGAAAGAAGTCCACCCCCTCACGCTGATTGAGGCCTCGAGCAACGTAGCGCGCCTTGAAGACAGGCGACTCTCAAGAAGGGCGCTTCACCTTGAAGAGCCACCGGCCATCGACTACGTTCATCCCAGGTGGGGGAACTACGTCGACAAAGGTACCAGTGGATCTCCAAGATGCCATCTCCTGCTCCATGGCAGCTATCCACTGAGAGGCCCAGGGTCCCGAGGTGGCCTCAGCGTAGATGCGAGGGGTCCGGATGTCAAGGGCGTTTGGGTCACCCTCAAGGACTAGTAGCATGGAAAAGAGATGGGGAGTGGCTGCAGACAGGAAAGCGAGCTCGTACTGCCTGTTCACTAGGACGTCACTGCCAAGGGCAGCCACACCCCCGATGGTCGGAGGGCAGGCAGGGTCAAAGACCAGAGCTGTGGCGTAGTCAAGGTGGCGGATAGAGGCGAAGTCAGTGACAGCAGCTACAAGAGCCGATAGACTCGAGACAGGAACAGATGGGTCGGTAACAAGAGAGACAAGGAAACGAGGAACAAGGGGACGTGCAGCACAAAGGAAGTCAGAGAACAGAGGCGGGGCCACAGCAAGCGACGACGTAGGAGGAGACAGCAGGAGAGGAGGAGCAAGGGACGCGTGAGAGCGAAGCAACATAGGGTGAGAACGCGGAGCAGGGGAGGTAGGACGAGCACGAGACGGACGACGAGACCAGACGTGAGACGGAGGAGTTGGGTGAGGAGAGAGAGGGGGAGACACAGGAGGAGAACGGGGGGGGAGACGAGCCGGAGAGGACTCCGGAGGAGGAAACACAGGGCCGGAGACCGGCGGAGGAGGAGGCGGTGGTGACAGAGGAGGCACCAGCAGGCAGCCACGGGAAGGAAGACCGAGGAGGTGGAGAGCGGACACCGGCGGGGACTGCTGCGGCTGCTGCTCGACTCCAACACCTGATCCTCCAGCGACAGCATGGCTCCCTCCGAGAAGCTCCATGCCAGCACCCTCAGAACGGGAACCCGCTCCAGCACCCACCCCAAAACGCTCCCCAGCACCCGCAGAACGCACGAACCCCAGCGGCGGTGACGACGGCAGAGGCGGGGGCAGCTGCGGCGGTGACAGCAACGGCGGCGACGGGGAAGAAGAGACCCAGGCAGGGAGGGGCAGGGGGAGGGACTCCGTAGAGCTGCGAGAGTCAGCAGACTCCTCGGCAGGGACACCCGACGGGAGAGGGGTGATGTGAGACACACCAGATGGGGCAGGGAGGGGAGGGGGGGGAGTCGGGGCGACCGGGGGAGGGGGAACCAGGAACTGCGGGGGGGGTAAACGGGGGACCACGGTGAGGAAAGCGGTGGTAAAAAGAGACTGACTCGTCAAAGGTGACGTCGC